TTTTTTTGTTGCTTTAACGGTTACCGCTTTGACGTTTTCGCAATTAAAGCGTAAACAGTGCAAATATTAAAACTCATAATCCACAAAGCTATATGAGGTTAAATTCGTGACCAATCGCTAGGTATTGCCTATGCATTGAGTACAACCTTCATAAAATCACTTTCAAATAATTTGTGCAGCACACTTCTTTGCATTATAACTTTAGTTTTAGTTGCGCTTGAATAGAACTTGACGCAAAAAACTCATCAGAATTAATTTTAGACATGATATTTATACGAATTGAAGTAAATTATGCGTTTTCTATTTTTACCACACATTTAGAGAAATCTTATAAAATAAAAATATTAAATTAGCAATCAAGGTCGAAACATTAGAAACTCTTCGCCTATGCGCGAACAATTTTTACGCGCTAGCAAATCCTAAGCGCCTTTGCAATTTCTTATTATTATTTGAAATATCAATTTGAAATTTTGCACACGTTCTTTTCCTCCCGAGCAGCTACTCATTTGTCGGAATTGCCGATATCGGACCACTATAGCATATAGCTGGCAAACAAACTGAACGCTCAAAATCGAGTGCTGATATAGAAAACTTTTTTATTTGTTAAGATATCTTCACAAAATTTGGCACAGATTATTGTCCGAGACAATGCTACAAGCTCCGCAGAAATTGTTCAGATCGGCCCACTATAGCATATAGCTGCCATACAAACTAACTGATCAAAGTTAAGCTAAATATCTTTTTATATCCTTTTATGCTATAAAAAATGCACGTGTGAAAGGTATTATAGCTCCGAAAGTAACGTTCTATATTGTTTTTATTTAACAATTTTTTGTTTTGAAAATCAATTAAATATTTTCATTATAGTAACCAAAATGTATAAAGGTTTTTTACTAGATTCCCATTATATTACTAGTGTTATGTTAATACAATTAATTCGCTTATTAATGAATTTTGCAGTTAAAAAATGTATAAATATACTTGTATATACATATGTACATATATGCAAAATATGCTTCTAAGTAGATAGCAGTAGAACAATCGACCGACCTCTATTGATTAACAAAGGCTGACAATGGCTGACAAAGGTACACGTTAAAATAATACAAACTGCTAAACACTTACACTAAACATATTTACGGTATTTCATATTTGTATGTGTGTATATGCAAAATACGTGTGGCACACAAAAAGCTGCACAAGGACATTCAGCACAAAAGGCTCATCAATTGTGGACTCCTGCATACTTAGTATCGTGTCAAATGTAACCTCTTTTATATCTTCGTTGTTGTTGTACTTGCAATACATTTATTGTGTGTTGCACCCAATTGTTTGTGCTATTATTTAAATCAACTTGTTGTTGCATGGCATGAGTACACCTGCAAGCTCAACATTGCCATACACATAGGACAGTACGTGGCGTATACGTGACATTTCAATATTGCATCGATTTTCCATCTACAACACCGTCGCATGCCGGCGTCGCTGCTGTATTTACTTGACAATGAGCCACATTGGAACACATGTCCCTTCAAGTATTGTATATGAGCAAATGTAATTGCTGCTTGTTACAAAAACAACAAATACAATGGAGTATATTCATACGCATATGTATGCGATAGGTAAATAACACGTGCTATATATACTTACTTTTAGCTGTGCACAAGCAATCGCTTTAAAAATGTTGTTGTGGTTGCCAGTGTTGCACAGGCGACAATGCACAGCAAATGAGAGTGTTGAACAAAGCAATATACTTGTACTACTTGTCTATATGATACGTGCGTACATCTGACATATACGTACTATGTACATATGTGTGTGAAATGCAAACAATGGCTGTAACAAGCTACACATTTTCATATGCATTTCAATAGCTGTAGTTGCGCCTAGGTGCAAAACGACTCGACGATGTTCATGCAACTTGTGTGCAGATTATTAACTGTGTGTATAAAGTGCTTTTTCGACAATGGCTTATGACTTGTTGTCCAAAAGCGTATTGCTTGTTTGTCAGTTTGTCGCTGTTGTTCTAATGACTGTGTCGATGTCTTTTTGTTGATGCTTAGGCGCTTGCATCCTTAGAGAGCTGCTGCTATTGGATGGCAATGCCACAATGCTCTGCATAACCTTCGCATCGATTTTCTACTAGTCATTTATATTCGCTACGTAAACGACTGCTGTCGTGTGCTTTTTGTGACACACACACATATACATATACATATATATATATGAAATTGACTGTGTGTGTGTGTGTGTGAAAAGCAGCGGTAACATTTTGAGAGCAACTTAACAGTATTAAACGACATAACCTTGACATGACAACGTCACCCACGCAACCCCTTTTTTGTCATTATCTCACTCAACTTTATGTTCATTGCTGCTACCAACACCCTGTTACATATACATACACACACGTCGCACCTCCGTTGTTGCACTTCATATTTGCAGTTGTTTAGTTGATCATACTTATAGTATTTATAATATTTATGGTATGTTAAAGAGTTATAGAATGTCAGTGTAAAATATATAAATCTGGAATGCTCATAGCAGCCTGTTGCCTGCCTTCTACACTTGCCTGTGCTATGTCCAAACGTTTGCTTGAAGGCTGGCCTGTGCATATGCATATGCTTGCGTGCTTGGCTTTAATTGCTGTGACACTTTGTGCTGTTGCAACCTTCACCTTCTCTCATTTACCTTTAAACATGTAGTATACACATATACATATATATATATATATATATGTGGCACGTTTGTCTATTCGACTACACTTGCATGTGTAAGTTGAAGTCTGAGTCTCAGCCTCTCGCAACAGTGACACTACCGAAATTGCCCGTATCGCAAATTGCATGAATAATTCCCTTTTAAATTGTGTGCATTCATTCGTGTCACATGACACTCTCGCCCTACAGCTTTGTTAGCTACTGCTTGCTTTCTACTATATAGTGTAGGCTTTATGACTTCTCGTCAGTTGGCAGCATAAAATGCAACACTGCATACAGAAATACGCGCATTTCTACAAAACACTTATATGTTTATATATAATAAAATATATATGTACATATAAAAGACTTCTTATATCACCTTACCTTTTACGTCTGTCATTGACATTTTGCGTCACGCGCTCAGTTAAATCTTTTTACGATTGTGCCTTTTTGAATGCGCTTAACTGATTGTATAATTAGACCTTGTCATTTCAGTAGCGCACAAACTTATAGTTTTTTGCATTTATTATTTTAATAGATTGGTATTAGTAGTGTTTAATGAAAGCCCTAGCAATATGCTTTATTTTGCTCAATAAGTGGTTTTGTTATACATGGTTATACATTTTAAGGGGATATTCTGGTTTAGAAGCGCGAATTTTTTTTTAAATTTCTAAACCAAAATACCCCCTTAAAGTTAGAATGGTATAGTATTGAAATCTTACAAAAATATAGCTGCAACATTTTTGTGCTAGTTTTAAGTGCTCATTTCAAAACTTATCTCAATTTGCTACCATAGAAATTTATCACATTATTTCTTCATGCCTTTAGGCTGTCATTATTTATTCCCTATATTCATAAATACATGTGCATTCCATTTAAAAAAACACATTATTGTAGTTTCATTATCCTTAATGTGTAGCTGAATCGTCACAAGACTTGAATAAATATTTTATAAGTTCATAAAATACATCAATTAATAGTTCTAACTGAAATAAGTATTATATGTACATATGTATTCAATTTGATGGTGCAGCATTTATACATATATATATATATATATATATATATATATTATCTATGTCTGCGTAGCTGCTAGAAAATTTGCTACAGGCTTCTTAATATGCTATACATATCTATGAATATAAATTAGAAATGTATTATACTTGTATATGTCGATAGTATGTACCTATTTCGGTGATTATTATATTCAAATTCGTATATCCGCTGTGAAAGCTTAAATATGTATGTAGGCATGTATGTATAATAAACTATCCACAAAACCACTTATGTCCAATAATATCCGCTCCGAAATGCACAATAAATCCCTTCAAATAAATATATTATTAGTTATCGTCTTTCCGGTCTATTAGTTTGACACTCCAATTTATCTGTGCATGTATACCTAAGTAAACGTTGATGCATCCTTTGAGTATTAATTTATGTATATCAGTGTTATATTTAAATGCTGGTTGTCTGATCATTGATTTCCATTGCACATTTTACTGACATAATGTGTATGTATTAAAAATATCATAATAATATAATAATATAATATAATATAATAATAATAATATAATCCTAGCATCATCTATTAAATTTTTTAAATAAATAATTATTTTGTACAAATTTTCGTCTTATGAGTGAGCGCGTTCAAAAATGTTACACATGATATTACTGCATAATCTTAAAACAAAATTATCCTTCTGGTGGTAGTGTTTTAAGTAACTTAAACCTATTGTAATATTATACGCAGAATATTACTTTGTTAACCACTTAATGGGTTACATGAGTTTCGTGGAGCAAAAAACGCCCTATTTTTAATAATTTTTTATTCAAACTTTTTGTTATTCCGAAGATACATATTTTATAAAGATTTTGTGAACTTTTCAAAGGAAAATATTCAAAACTCTGTCATTAAAACGTTTTAAGTGACTTCATAGCTGACCTCGAACGCGCAACTTTTTAAAGCTGTATCCCCAAAACTATTACTGGTATCAACATGAGAATTTAGCACAATATTCTAGAAATGTTATAGAATCAAACAAGACAATAAATTTTTTTTGTCTTTTAAATCCGGGAAACCCATGTAACCCCTTAATTAAAAGCAACTTACACTAGAATTGCAAAAATTCACTCCTGCTTACAATTTTCTGTCCAAATATCTACTTTTAATCACATATACATATGAAATAAGTAATATATAATAATATACATTATATAATTTAATATAAAATAATATTTGCAACCAACAAATGTTCACATTGTTTCCATCGTTTTCTTGTTTTTTTTTCATACACGCAGGACTCGCCTTGAACACGAACTCGCTGACCGGTCGCCGCGATTCATTTGATCGCAATACATCCGCCTTCAGCCCTTCAGCAGTTGATTACAACAACAGCAGCACCAGCACACTACAAGCCGCTGCAGCTGCAGCCGCCGCCGCTGCTGCGGCCGCACGCGGTAAATGGCCCGGCGCTGTGACCAACAGTTATGGCGCATTGAGCGCCACCGCCTCGGCGAGTCCGATTGGTACGGCCATTACACCACCACCGCCGCAATCATGCCTTGTTACAAATCGTGCACCTGGCGCTGAAACCAAATATCGCCAACAAATGGGAGTTGGTGCTGTTGGCCTGCCACCAGCCGCTGCTGCGGCACAAGTGGCCGCCGCTGCTGCGGCTGGTAATATGTTCGGTTCAAGCAGTTCACTCTTCTCAAAACTGACTATACCGGGTGGTGCTGCTGCTGCCGCAGCTGCAGCTGCCGCCGCTGCTTCCAACCGTCATGCAGCAGCCGCTGCCGCTGGCCTAAATGCATCTGCAGCAGCTGCTGCTGCAGCCGCCGCCGCCGCCGCCGCTGCAGCTGGTGCACCGCAACCGGGACGTTCCCGTCTACTCGAGGACTTCCGCAATCAACGCTATCCGAATTTGCAGTTACGCGATTTGGCTAATCATATTGTCGAGTTCTCACAGGATCAGCATGGTTCACGCTTTATACAGCAGAAATTGGAACGCGCCACAGCTGCAGAGAAACAATTGGTGTTTAGCGAGATCTTAGGTTCAGCTTTTAGCTTGATGACCGATGTTTTCGGTAACTATGTTATACAGAAGTTCTTTGAGTTCGGCACACCAGAGCAGAAAAACACGTTGGGTATGCAGGTGAAGGGGCATGTTTTGCAACTAGCTTTGCAAATGTATGGTTGTCGTGTCATACAGAAAGCGCTGGAGAGCATCTCACCAGAGCAGCAACAAGAGATTGTGCGCGAATTGGATGGCAATGTATTGAAATGTGTCAAGGATCAAAATGGTAATCACGTGGTTCAAAAATGTATCGAATGCGTCGATCCGTCGGCGCTGCAGTTCGTCATAAATGCATTCAAGGGTCAAATATACACACTCAGCACACATCCATATGGCTGTCGGGTTATACAACGCATATTGGAGCATTGTACCGCCGAGCAGACGCAGCCCATACTCGATGAATTGCATGAGCACACTGAGCAGCTAATACAGGATCAATATGGCAACTATGTTATACAACATGTGCTGGGTGAGTTGGTGTTGCAGCATACAAAATTCTTTTTTAAGATATATTAATTGTGTATTTTCCACTGTAGAGCACGGCAAGCCCGAAGACAAGTCAATACTGATCGCCAGCGTGCGTGGAAAGGTTTTGGTATTGTCGCAGCATAAATTCGCCTCGAATGTTGTGGAGAAATGTGTCACACATGCCACACGCGGTGAACGCACTGGACTTATCGATGAAGTGTGCACATTCAATGACAAGTAAGATGCGAAATTCATTTTAAAATTAGTAATCATATACTCACTGCGTTAAAACTAATTTGTCATATTGTTGAAACGATTTCACATATGCCACTTTGTGTCGTGTTTACGTATGCTAAAATATTTGTTTTCCACTTTAGTGCCTTGCACGTCATGATGAAGGATCAGTATGCCAACTATGTGGTACAGAAAATGATTGACGTCTCGGAGCCGACCCAACTGAAGAAACTCATGAATAAGATACGCCCACACATGGCGGCATTACGCAAGTACACCTATGGCAAGCACATTAATGCCAAGCTGGAAAAGTACTTCATGAAGACAGCCAATCCAATAACAACAACAGCAGCAAGCTCAACAATCGTCTCCACCAGCATCGCACCCTTAACAACAGCGGCTTGCAGCACAGCGTCTGGCCTAACCATTACCACGCCTACAAGCAGCATGACTACCGGTCTCACAGTTGGTACACCCATAATGATACAAGAGAATGGCATTAACGTTACACCAGTGGGTCAGACATCACCAGCAGCATCATCATGCACCGTCTCGACCAACAGCAGCAGCGCCACCTCTGTGGTGACTGCCGTCAATAGTGGCCTGGGACCCATTGGCCCCCCCACCGCTAACGGTGTAGCGTTGTAAAGAGCGCGTTGTACATAAAGCAATAAAATAGATGATTGCAGTACAAGTGAAGTGAAATTTTGCAAAATATCTGCTAGAGCGTCACACTGAAGGCACACAATTTTATTAGTTTATAACAATAGTAGCAGCATTATATAGCATTAAACAGAAATTGATTATAATTTGAATGTGTAACTTAGTTTTAAGATATGCTGTGTTTTTCTCGATTTTATTTAGATTTTAAATTCTCCAAAAAAAAAAAAAACACAGACACACTTTAAAATGCAACAAACCAGAAGAGATGTGAAAAAATATTTCGTGTTGGAAACTAACAGATTACGCGGTAATTGCAAAGTAACCAGTAAGATTAACTACAAGAATCTCAGTTGAGTAGGAAAACATGATTGCGTTAAATATGCAGCTCGTATTTTTATAATATATTGAAAGTAAAAAACGTTATCGAAGAGCGTAAAGAAGACACAATGTCAAACAAACAAAAAGCTATATATATATAGCACTCGATTTAAGAAGCGAACATAAACGCCTTCAAAAGACAACAAAATCGTTAACACAAATGGTAAATAAAACTCGATTTGTAAAAATTTAAACACGAGTAAAAATTAAAAGAAAAATCGAATTGTGCAAATATTTAACACATATGCAAAAATATTTTAAGAAAAACTGAAAAAGTAACAGTTTTATAAAAAGAAAATTAAATTAAATGAATATAAAGAGCAGCGTCGCTTAAGCAGCGTACGCGTTTAAGACTTTTGTAGCGCATGCGCGCGCGCAACCTTTCTTTTATGCAAGAGCCAGTCAAACGCATATTACTATGAGATAAACTAAGCATGAATCATACGAAGAGAACACACACACAATTGAATCATAAAAAAAATGAATAACAAAAAGGCGTTAGGTATATATACAAGCAAGCGCTATAAAAGAAGCTGAAATGTTTGTATAAAAAGAAAAACACAAGAAATAACATGAAAATAAGTTTAGTTTAAAAAAAAAACAGTATACTATGTATTTATAAAAGTAATTTTTTAGCAGCTTGCCGTTATTTACACACTCTCGTCACACACGCGTGTCACTGCTCGTTGTCATAAAAGAGCCAACGTAGCAAGCTTAGTTAGTGGCAGCGCATAATTATAGGCTTGTGTGTAAGACGGCGCTTTAATTTAACACGTGTGTTGCTGCTACAATTTTTTAATAGTAGTCATTTTAGAAGCTTCTCATTTGTAATTTATTAGCAAATGCAAGCATATAACCATACAAACAACACACACATACACAACACATGCAAAGTAAGAAAAGAAAATCGTGCAACGCTAGCATTTTATGAAAGAACATATAGTTCGCCAACAATGCTTAAAACCAAGGACTTTTATATATAAATTAAACTAACTAATAACATAAACAAACTAAACTCACTAAGGACTTGTTGCGCACAAATTGGTAGTTTTTCGTTGAGCGAACGTGCTTTGAATATTTGAAGCGATCTTTTCCGTGAGCAATTGGAATGTCTTGTATAAAATGCATGTAAAAAATGTTCATACAAATTCATGTACAAATTTCATAACACAAAATAGTAGAGTGTAAAAAAAAAAATATTTCATACAAAAATTTCTATGGAAACCAAATTACGTTACATTTAATATAAAATTGTCAATAACATTGATTTCGTAAACTTAACTGCATGCATAAATTAAATGTTTGTAAATCCAAAAGTATCTACTGCGGCTGTAATATTTTGAACTGTTGCAATGTGAAAATCAAGTAATAGTTAGCAATTACTATGTATTATATGGAATTCTTCTGTGCGAAAATATTATACATATAAAATTTTCCAATTGCGTTTGTGTAAAAGCTATATTCAACAGCGAAAAATATGTATTTAGCAAATGCTAAATAATTGTATGATGTTTTATGTCGTTTGGTACAAACACAATTTTTTAATAGCAGTTAAAGTAAAAAACTTCATTTTCCTAATATACATACAATTTTTAATTAACCGCTAACAATAATTTTCACAACAGACACACAAAGTTAGCGCCGCTTTTATGACAGAAAAGCAGAGAAGCTTATAATATATCATTGCATGTAAATAACATCATCATTCGTAGCTACAAAATAACATAATTTCTCTATAGACGTTGAAAATTCGTTTCCATATTAAAATATGAATTGAAATTATTTGTAAAATATGTAATATTTTGTAAAAAAAAAAAAAAGATGTAATATTGTGTAAAAATTTTAATAATTTGTAAAAAACAAAAGTATAAATAATTTGTAAATGCGCCCTTTAGTATTAATAGACACGAAAAGTAGAACTTGTACAAACTATATTTACGCTTTGGCTCGTGTGTGCTACGAGTTTCGACATGCAAAGCTCACAAACAAGTTCGCTAGACACACACACGCTTATGCAAATTCGCTGCAATGAACGGTAACCATTTTGTGCGCAAAAACGTAATCATTTGTGCGCTGTTGCAAGAAAATGATTACAAACACATATTGTAATTTGTATGCGTTCGTTAATATACATACATATATACATATAAAGTACATAATACGTAAGCACTGTAAATGTAAGCGTAATATTATATATTTTTAGAGTAAAGCAACAACTGATAAGTGACGCAAACTAGCAACTTTTTTTTGTAACCAAAAGGAAAGAGGATTTATCTGTATGTAATATAAAAAAAGGTTTACTGCTGATAGTATTGAAAAGGAAAAATTTTAAACTTTTGTAGTAATTGTAAGCGAAAAGGGGAATGCTGTTAAACAAAGCGCGAAAGACAGTTGAAAATATTGAAAATTTTGTTAAATGCAATTTGTAATTAAAATTTTGTTCTATAATAATGTATTTGTAATAAAAGAGTGTGTGTTTTATTTTGTTTGTTAGCAACCATAAAATAGCATATAAAAAAATATTATATAAAAGCTCTTTTTACGACACGCCACCCCCAAAAATGACTCGAAAAAATTATGTGTTTTTAAAAATAGCAAGCTAATGAAATTTATGTATTAAAAATAAAACCCTAATTAATAAATATGTATTATACAAAAAAAGAGAAAATGTAAAATTAAAACATAAAACATAAAAAGCATGCTATTGCCACGTGGAAAATATGTAAAATATATATATAATAGTAGTTGAAAAAGTAAATAATATAAATATAAAAAGTAAAATATTAATTTAAAATAAAACTAAAAACTGTAAGCATTGTATTGTAAAGCGTGTAAGTCAAATTAACGCAGCAGTAAACGCTGTCGTTTGCCGACTACATTCGTTCGTACACTACTGCGAATTCGTTTGTGCATTTGTAAGCGCGTACTCTACGTAACATCTGTATGTATGTACAAAAAAATGTTTTATGTAAAATTTTGTAAAAAAAAAATGTGCGAAATTAATTCAAAATATACAAGCATTAAAGCAGAAAACATGTGCATGTTCAAGCAAATTAATTTTTAAGCTTGTAGACAATTGGAAAACAACAGAAGTTGTTGCATGAAAAATGAATTTAAGAAATATTTTTGTTGTTAGTAAAGTTAACTGCGATTGACGCTTACGCACTGGCAATATACATATTTTGCGCTCATTCACACTGCAAAGCACGAAATTGTGTAAAAGTTAATTTAACGTTTTTGTAGTTGTTCCGGTAAAGTATTTGCAGTTCAAATAACAGAGACATGATTATATATTTTTGATTGCTAAATAAACTAAATTTTTGCATATTAATTAGAATGAAATGCTTAACTAAGCCGCTACACAAATGGTAGGCAACAAAAATTTGAATAACCGTATTTCGTTAATATAACGCTACAGGCAAATATTGCACAATAATATTAATAATATTATTTTCACAGACATATTTTTGTGCTTGCTGCAACATAGCGTGTAAGTTACAAATAAATTCAAGCAGTTAGTCAGAGATGCATGTAGCAATAGGGACAAAAGTTCACTCGATCGACGTAACTGTAAAATTTTAATTAAACGTGAAAATAAGTTGACAAAATATGGCAATTTGTCAAAAGTTGGCATTGTCGGCTATTAAAGCAAGGAAAATAAAATTTATTTATAACAAAAACCACACAACCTGTCTGATTAGATTTCATATTGTAGTATACAACTACGAAATACACATTTATAAATAAATAAGATAAACGTATAAAACATGAGCAACTTAATGGAAAAGAATTTTACATTTTATCACAAATATATGCGAACTCTTATAAATACGCATACAAACATACTTTTCACTCTCTATAAATAAATAAATATATATTTATTTATATATATATACATATATAATATACTTATTACTGAACATGTAGTTATTATTAATACAATATAATAATGTGTATTATTTATATAAAGATTACCAGTAAAATCGTATAAATATGTAGTATTTGTAAAAGAATTTAAATATTTAACTGTAGTGCATATGTTTATAAAATTCGTACATATAAAAAAAAATAAATAAATAAATAAACAAAAATAAAAATATTTACTTATGTAGCCTGTAAAAATACGAAAAGCAGAAAATAAAAACAGACTTACTGAATATTCAAAGTAAAATGCATAACATGTAGAAAAAGTAATAACTTTGAAAATGAAAAACAAAAAAAAAACATAAAAAACACGCAAGTAAATGCTAAGCACACTTAAGTAGGCTAACTAGCAAGCGAGCAAGCAAACAGCGTTATTGCAGCGGAAATCTTTAATTATGTATACACATAAATGAAGCACATGCACAGATATGCAAGTAGCTACAACAACAATAAGATTGCAAGCATTCTAGTTGGAAAAGGCGCATAAGTTGCAGAAATTATACAAAAATTTTGTTTTATGTAGATAACATAAAAATGTTGCAGATATAGCAAAAATTAAGCAAAATGTTTTTGACTTTTATTTTAAAAAGAACAATTTAAAACCTAAATTAGGAGCCGAAATTAACGGCCGAAAAAGTTGACTTTAAACTTTAAAATTATGTAATTTTTTTTTATCTTTTTACAACAACAACATGCCAACATTATGTAATTTCTGAAATGAAAATGCGCCGCAATGAAATCAAACAGTTAAAAAAACTCACAGAAAACAGTGGCTAGCATACACACATTTTCAATTAAAAACAGATTTTTAGTTTACATAAAAATTTCGTCTAAATAGACAGTTATTATTTTTATGCAAAATTATGCTGCAGCTAGTAACAATATTTCTGCAGCATTCTAAGTAAGCTAAAAAGGCACGATTTATTTGTGTATTTCATAAGTTTAAACTTAATTTAATAATTTAAGTATATTTTTTTTATTTTTATTTTTTATTTTAATGCATTTTTTTTATAAACTCTAAACAATTTATATATGTTAGTGTGTGTATTTATTGCTCTATGGTGTTTTTTTCCACTATATATTAACCAACAAACACGACTTTTTAACATATTTAACTGCGTGTGTTTAATATAATACCTAATAAAAATGTCTATGTACGTTGTATGTAATAGTTTTTTCGTATTGCTAGTATTTTTAATAAATTTTTTTTAGTTATTTAAATAACAAAATAGTCAAAATTATTTGTAAATGTACGATTTTGTAACAAAGAACAACAACAAGTACTGCAAAATGTACTAAATTGTAATGTATTGTATGTAATGTAATGTATAACTACCAAACCTAATTCACTTACTAACTGTATTTGTATAATATTTTTTGTAATAAAATGAAATTGTAATTTTTGCCTCAACTTGATTTGCATCGAAGTGATCAAAGCCAAACAACTACAAAAAAAAAAAAAAAAAACAAAAATGCAAAAACGAAAAATTGTGTAAACAAGACAAACTGTAAAAATTTATATTTTCAGCTGTAGCGATTGCAGCGAAAATTGTGTTATTTGTAAAAAGAGAAATGTAAAAAACAACAACTTCCACAAACCACACAACTCCTACAATCCACACATTGCGTATTCATTCTGCTAATGAGCTTGTTTATAACTGCACACTGTGTTAGCCGCCTATATGGTACATACATTTATACATACATTGTACATCTAACTGCATACCAATTTGATTTTTCATGAATAAAGCAAAAAGAAATGCATTAGTCGTTTTAAATGCTTGTACAACAGCAAATATATACATTTATATATACCTATATGTATATGTATATACATAAATATACATGCATACATATGTATGTATGTGCATGCATATGCGTACAATATTTTAAGTGAAACATGAGGTCAATTCATTATGAGTATCATTATTGTTTAATTCACTTCTTTGATTTACATATATACATACATACAAAAATATATATAAACAATGCAACAGCTGCAAATATTCAAGCGTAATAAGCAAAAATATCTTTTAGTTATTTGTATGTTAACTATGTCATTACTTTGTAGTATTTCTTCTTATATAACTTTATTTAACTAAGGAAAAACAAGCGAACGTTTGACTTTTATGTAAACCAACCAATCAATGCAACCACCACGCCTATTTTGTAGGTATTTCTAATTTTACGCATTTCATGTTTCTAAATATTTTAATAATTATTATTATCATAAATATTATTGCTATTATAATTACTATTATGTTTATGTGCATAAGTTAGCGTTGTGACATTTATATACATATGTATACAACATACAGACATATATGTATATACACACGCCTACCTAACATACCAAAACTACTACCTAACTACCTTTCAACAAATGTCAGACATACATACAAACATACTTCACTAAGAAACTTGTTCATTCTTACACATGCATACATATATAGTACATAATAATTAGTTTTTTTTTTCAAAGTAAATACAAACAAAGAAATTGTAATTGTAATTTTATGTAAAACACAAATATATTTAAAAGAAATTTGACAAAAAAAAAAAACTTGCAAATTTTTATTATTTCCCATTGGATACCTTTCGTATTGGTAATTTAGCATTTATGATTTTTGCAGCTGCAACGCTTATATAACATACGACATATGTCTTATATATATTGTACGATGTCGGCAAATCGAACGTCTATTGAAGAATGGTGATTTTATAATGTGAAGTGGTGAGTGTACGTTTACTGAACGCTGCTATTGGCGTTGTGAAAGGGGGTATTCTGGTTTAGAAGCCCGAATTTTAGGCTCTTTCGGACCCAATAAACAAAAACAACAAATATTTTTACTATAAATTTTCTATTGTTTTTGTTTTTTATTGATATTTAAAGAGTACAAATCATTTATAATATTAAAAAAAAAAACTCCAAAAATTCCAGGCCAACAAAGTGGGGACTGATGAAAAATTGGCGTATCCTGGTGTGCAGGATATCAGTACTATCAGTAATCTGAAATGGAAATTTTCGAGTGATCCTTAAAGAGAAAGGATGTAGTTATAGCACTGCGAGAGGATTTTGGAGAAAAAAAATGTACACAATATGGCGACCGTTTGAAAAATATGTTTCGTTATTTCCCTGATTTTTTGCCGTTCGGAATTTTTAAAAAATACAAACAAAAATTCTCTCGTAGTGCGATAGTATAATGTATAAATAAGCTCTGTAGAAAATTTCAAGTAAATCGATTGAGTAGAACTTGAGTTATCATGCAGATTGTTTCTAAAAATGTAGTTCAGAAAAAAAAACGACTTTAAAATTTAAGGCCGAGTCGCGCGTCACCCGAACCGTTCAACAGCGTGTTAGAAAATGTGCTGTAACTCCGAAAATAATTGAAATTTCAAAAAATCATTTTAGGGACATATTCTTAAAGGGTTATACTACAAAAATATGCAAATTTTTCTTAAATTTCTAAACCAGAATACACCCTTAAGCAAGTAGTAGTGATTGATGTTGAAGCGCACACCAGCATTCTAGTTCACATATTAAAATAGATCAAAGCTTATGCTCTTCTTAAAATTCGTATAATCCGCTTATAATTGTCAAAATCGGAACTTAAATTGAAAAAATAATTTATAAACCTAATTTGGTGGTCGAATCAGAAGTTGCATTGGTTACTGGCTGTCAGTAACAATTTCATGCTCTGCTAATGGATTTTTAGTTTTACTTTTTACTTTACGTCGACTTTTCTTTTCATCTTGTGCTATTTTTCCGATAACAAATTTGTATTGCTTTTAGGGCAGTTAAAAAAGAAAATATATAGATTTTATGTCAACCTGTACAAGCACAGTTTAAGCGGATTCAAAATCTCTTTTAAGGACGGCGATAACTGAATATCTTAAGCGAGACTATTATTTTGTTGTAGTTACCGGAAATGCAACCAGTATTTCCAATTATTCCCTCGTTTATCAGTTGTATACATTGGTGATTACTCTCAGAGAGTTTCTAGTTAGTTTCGTTGCCATAACAATAACTCGGTTAAATGGGCGAAAGCGTATAAACTACACTTATAATTTGTTACGCTTCATTGCAAAAAAACGATTAGCTAAACTATATGAATTATAAAGGTTTTAAATTTATACAATTTATACACCACTAGCTCTTAGTGTTATCATTTCTCTAACCTTAAATCTCTAAAATTTTGTTAAGCGCACTTTACATCCAACATAATTTAAAATCCTAAGAGTTTAGTAATTTATGTACATTTTTGTGTAGCTACATGAAAATGATTGCGTAAATAAAAAGTTATGCAAGCTATAAAAAAACGTTTCATAGCGCACAGGTAAATATTTATAAAATACATGGTTGTCGCTATTAAACATTAGGTTACTGATATGCATAGCCTTAAAAAATAGCGCGAAACAAAATAGAAGCGTCACCTGACGGAATTTTTCGCATTAAAAATAAACATACACATTTGATACAAATCGGCGCTTTATAGCAAACAATCCTGGACACATAACCTTAAAAACGTTGTAAACTAAACTATAGATCTCAAAAAGAGCCTAGCATTTCTAAGGCACCATTAAAGTTTGGTTTTTGTGCGTTTAAACAGAGCACACAATATTTGTGGTATTATTACTAAACATCTTAGTTTAATAATTATATGAATATTGTGGAGCGGCAAATCAAATTGATGTAAAACGCTATGGCATCACTGTAATGAAAAGGCAACATACTGTCAAAAATAGTTGCTTAAAGAACAGTCGCGGAAATTGACAGCTAATGTTTTATTATTTTTAGCAATTTTTGAATTAATTAGATTAAAATAATAAATTCTCTTTTTGAAATCCTGTCAAATTATTAAATTTATTTAGAACAAATACATACTTGAAAAAACGTCAACTTAAATACAAAACAAAAAATCAAAATTAAACTTCTAAAGCACTTACAAAAAATACATGAAAAAATGTATGCGTATATAACGGTCTTATGTATGTATAGTAAACTGTAAGAAGTATGCGTTTAATGTCATAACTGAGTATAATCATAATTCAAGGTATATTTGTGTTATAGTTCTACATATGTATGTATATAGTGCGTATGTAGATCAAGTATATGTATGTACAATAATGTACATACAGAGTACATAAATATTTTGTATGCAAACGCGAAATGCGATTTTTTTGTAAATTGTATAAAATGAATACATAAATAAATACATACATAGAAATGATAGATAACAAAGATAATAAATAACGGTCTAGCTGAAACTAAAAGAATAGAAGAGTAAAATTACAGAATAATATCACTTAAAGAACATTTCGAGTTTTTCTACAAAGTCAAAGTTAATGAAGAGCTATTTTTTATAAAACAACAGCAATTGTGTAACGGTACTTTGTACTCGTAGGTTTTATGGCATGTGCAACATTTTTCAAAACGACAAGCAGTTGGTGAAGTGGCGCAAGTTTTAAAAAACACAACTTATTATCAATAAAAGTAAAATTTATAGTAATCTAGTAACTGCCCAACAGTTGAAGACGCATACATACAACAAATATAAGTAAAACTTGAACAAAAAACAAAAAAAAAAAACACACACACTATAAAATCAAATATGCTGTTTGAAGTAAACGCCATAAAAATGGCAGACAAAATTTTATTGTAAAAATTGTCAAATTCAGAGCTTCCTTACGGGAAAGCAGAAATCCATAGAAGAAGAGAAGTGTATGTATGTTAGCTATGCAAACATATGTGTGTGTACATGCATTAAATATACATTACGTGATGGCGAATGGAACATTTTAAAGCAGTTTTTTAAAACATTGACATGTAAGGCAGAAAATTAAGAATATTTTGTCATAAGTAACTAAAAGTATAAGCAGCAGACATACATACATACAAACATATTCACATAAATGGCATTATATACAATTGCAAAAGTAACCACATCCATAGCATACACATGAAACTAAAAATATATAAACTAAACTGTCACCAGACATTAAATACCAAAGTACGAGAGACTTAAAAGACCTGTCACTAAAACAAGCTAGTCTCCAAACAAAGTGGTACAAGTTGATGGATTGTGCTAGCAAATTGCTACAAGCTAATTCTTCGTACGAGTTTAAATTACTTCAAGTTTTCAAGCTTTTAATTTTCTGTTATATTTACTACACAAAACGAAAATACCAAACTCGTTAAACGAACTTTAAATTTCTGCACATTTTAGTTGTTCTGCGACACACTTAAAGTTTTCATTAGCGCTGCTTAGTGTTTAGGCAAAACACTATAAATAACAATGTTCTATACATATGTACATGTATATATAAATATATTATACAAACTACTGAATGTTTGCTCTTCTCTAAATGCCAAAGCACTTAATTCACTTAATTACTAATAATTCGATTACTCAATTTGACACATTGTTGACAGAGACACAACAAAAATTACGCATTACAAAGGAGATTTATAGCGCATTAACGCGCTATTTAATGCGTTTTGGATTGCTTCAGGGCGCAGAAGTGCGCTGAGAGGTGTACACTACATACCCAATTGGTATCCATCAACTAGTCTCGATAAAGCGTATGAAACAACATAAACGAAGAGCAAATTATAAAAAAAAAAAATATTTTCTGTTGTAAATAAATTTTATTTTTGAGACATGTACTCGTATTTTTTTTTAGTAAGACTTGAAAACACAACTTCAAACATTTTGTTGAAAATTTCTAATGCAGAGTTTTTTTAACATTTCTACGTGAAGTCTGTTTTCGGCAGGTTATCATAAGCATAAATTGCGTATACACATGTATAAATACGGTATACTCGTATGTAGCATCATCATAGAGTGCAAAGTGTAACATCCTAATTGCATGGCAGGTAAAAATTTAATAAAAATCGATAAATAACAACAACAACGCATAGAAAAAGAAAATATATATGCAACTATATAAATAATAGTCACAAAAAAAATAAATACTAGAAATTAAAATTAAGTCGCTAAAAATTAAAGGCTAAATTAAAACACATACACAGACACACATACATAAAAAATATATTATTAAATAAAATTTTTAAAAACAAAGAATAAACAAATAACAATCTATTTTAAATTGCTAAAAATAATAACAAATTGAAGTAACAACGTAAGCACTTTTGTAATTACTTACTAACCACACCCTAATGTGTTGATAAAGCATCAACAAATTATGTATTGTATATTTTGTAGTCGTAAAAACATGCTTACTTACTTCTGCAGTAAGTATGTATGTACATATGTAACATTGTATTTATGTATATTGTAATTTAAAACAAAGTTAATTTCATTTCTAACACCAATTTATATAATTTCACCAACTCCAACGTTGTTGTTAGAATTTGCCATTTTAGTATAATATTACGTTAGAAAAAGTCACAGTTTCACGGAATGTATGAAGGGCACACGCTGATTGCGTTTATTAAAAATTAAAAATTAAGTAAATAAATTTCAATAATTTTATCGTGCTAGCAATTAGTACAGATTTCGACTGTTGTATGTAACTCATTTGTGCTGAAATAAAATCACACGTAAATATATAAATAAGCTTATTAATGCGCTTATATACTTACATACACACACACACACACATACATACATATATACATAAATATATGATAATAATTACGTATAAACTAATTGTATGTATGTAAGACGGTAGTTATAAATATGAAATAAATACAGATAAACGGCATGTAAGCAAGAAACAGGAGAGCTAAATTTATATACCCTACAAGTAAATTATACTCCAGTAATAAAAAACAAAAATAATAATAAAATTGTATGCGTGTGCAAAGTTTGCGACGATCAATTCAGTTAAAGCGCATAGAGAACGCATTGAAATGCAAATACAGTAAACCTAAAAAGGTCAAATAAAAAGAAATTAAAAGAAAATAAATTGAATACAAAATGACTTGTGTAACTAACTATTTCAATATTTAATAATAATAAAATTATTAGAAAAGAAAAGTATCTGCATTTTTATTACATATGCTTTACAAGCATTCGCAAGTGTGCGATTTTGTTGACCACTTTTGCTGTCAACTTCAATATATTAACATTGAACTGCCCTTAAACACCATTGCTTACTGAGATGTTGTTGGCTGAAATACAACGCTGGTTTGTTGAAAAATTCGTAAAAGTGAAGAAAACCTTACCCTTGTAACCCGTTAAACAAAATTTTCATCGAGCAAAAAAGGGCCAATTTTTTTTTTTTTTAATATAAAATATGAAATATTTTGTTTAAGAGCTTATTCTAGTGTATAATTAAAAAAAAACGATTTTTTAAATATTTTCAAAGTTTAACTATTTGGAATATATTTATGAGAGGATTTTTGAAAATTTAAATTATTTTCGGAGATATACACATTTTACTGATCCGGCCTCCAAACTGGTTCAGCTGGGTCTAATCCAACATAAGACTTTACGTGAAACTTTAAATGCGTTTTTCTCACAGCAGACTTTTTCAATACGAGCGAGACCCACGATTTCTCAAGTTCTACTGGACCGATTTACTTGAAATATTTTAGAGAATCTTTTTTATAGACCTCTCTGGAGTTCAATTTTTACTTAAAAAATACGAAAAAATAAATATGGTAAAAATGGTAGAAAAAATCGTTGTTTTTTCAAACAGTCGCCATTTTGTGGAAAATTTTTTTTTTTAATTATTGCTAGTTCATACAATTGTGATACCATTGCAGATTGACAATCTATTTTTATTGGATATGCTCATGTGCTAAATTTTTGAGACCCCCAACTTCATCGGCATCGGCCAGTTTTTTAAATGTTTAACTTTTTTTTTATGTTTTTTTTGTACTCTTGTAAAATTAATAAATAACTGATAAAAAAGTCGATAGTAAACATATTTGCCTTTTTTTCGACACTTTAAATATTACCTAAAATGCATGTCTCTGGACTAGAATACCCCCTTAAACATTTTATTATTTTAAGGACACATACATATTTTACAAAGATGTTGTGAAATTTTGAAAGGAAATACTTTGCTGTTGTAGCGGTAGAACTCTGCGGATGAAACCCGTGCCAGTTACGTAGACTAGACTGTCATGGGAACGGCATGACGACAACTTTTCCGACAGTGCTTCTGCAAAAAGAACTTCATATACATACAGAATCAACAAAAGTAAATGTAAAAATTTACGTTTTTAAATTAAGACCGTAAACTAGTTATTTTACGAAGGAAAAACAAAAAAATGAAAATTGTATTTTTGGCAGACATTTTTTACAAAAAAATGCAAATTTTGATGAAAGTTTCTCGAAGTTTTTTTTTTTTAAGTAGTGGTAATTGTACCAAAATAATCCTTAGTTCAAGACACTGTAAATTACCTGTGGCGAAGACCTGTGTAAAATTTCAGTTCGCGAGAAATCTGGACAACCGACTTTGAAACCACAGTTTCCAGAAAACCACGTTTAAAGTTCTAATTGACTATATAGCTGACCTCGAAGGCGCAACTTTTCAAGGCTGTATCTCAAAAGCTATTACTCGGATCAATTTGAGAATTTAGGGCAATATTCTAGAGGTGTTATGGAATTAAATAAGATAATAAAAGAAATATTTTTTTTGAAGCCGTGAAACTCTTTTAACCTCTTAAGTTGAACAGCTCTCCGATATTTGTTTGTAAGCCAAAAAATTACTCCTTAATCTTCTTACAAGAACAAATTCATTGAATAAGCCTTAAGTCCCTTTCATAAAAGTGTTAATTTACTTTGCTAGAAAATTGCAAATTCGACGGCAAATTAATTTAATAGTTCTATAAAGTTTATTTTAAACTCATCTTGGTAAATTTTAATTTTGTACAAAAAGTCCAAATTTATGCATCAAACTTATAAATATTTAAACTTAAAATCTAAAAAACTATTTACACAAAAACATTTTCAAGGATTAATAGGCGATAAGTTTGCAGTAAAAACTTAGTAGTTACCGGTACCATAATTATGTGCAAATATGGAATTATAAAATGGATACATAATGCGTATTGGTGAGTTGAACGGGTATTTTTAGTAATTTGTAAGCTTTTCACTAAATGATGATTTTCATTAGCAACGCCTTAATGCTAATGCTATATAGAGGCCGAATATAGGCTAATACTAAACGCTTTATATAAGACATCTGTTGAGCTGGTGTAAGTTATGGTTTGATTTTCCAATTTGACTGCAAAGATAGTACGAAATCAACACAACTTTAATCCACATAGAATAAATCCTTGGGCACATTCTTCAACAGTTGATTAGCGAGTTTACCAAACTCTTGCGCCAATTTCTTTTGCAGCTGTATTTGCATGGCCTCCAAAACGACACGGGAGTTTTCGCGCAGGAACAGATTTGTGGCCTGAACTGTATAGTATTATATAATGTTGAAAACATAAAAGTAAGCTAAATTTGCATTGAAAGAAATTGAACACAACTTACGCAAAATTCGATTGTTATTGAAGGCGCCCGAAATATTCATGTTCACATCCTTGACATTTAATACCAGACTGAGTGAGTCCACATGCAGATATGAGCGTCCTGCTTTTTCATTTGACGACACTTTGCCAGTGATATCAGCAACAACACCCTCTGTATAATACAAAAACAAAAATTACATAATTTATTCGGTTATTAAAATATAATTTTGCAACAATACTTATATTTTTGTATAATTTTATTTATATTATATATATTTTTTCTTACCAAAAGTGGCATGGAAATCGCCACCACCTGACGCTGGTATGATAAGCAGCACACCCGAGCTGGTGTATTTCGCTTCAATATTCAACTTGGGCATGGCAATGCGCGCTTTGAACGGTTCATCGCCTTCACTTAATTTCATCGATTTCACCTGAAAGTTACTGGCGCCCAATACTTCCAGATTCTTCAAAGTAATTTTATAGCCTTGTGGTCCATCGGTGAGTTGTAGTGCAAGCGCATCCATTTTGAAGGGTTCCACGGAAGGCAGCTGCAAATTGGAGGCAAAATACAATGAATGTTTAATCTTTATTTTTGTATTTTCATTGTTTTCTTAAAAATCACTTGAACCAAGGTAATGTAGCTACTACATAAGTGAATTATAATAAAATCAAATTTTTTCGAAAATATTATATGCGAATATTACTTTTGATTACTAAGAATTATAAAAAACTGAAAAATTTTCGAAAATACTATATTCGAATATTATAACGGGTGATTTTGTTCAGCGATGAGGCCCATTTCTGGCTCAATGGGTATGTAAACAAGCAAAATTGTCGCATTTGCACGAACAACCTGAGCAAACTGATGAGATTCAAGAGTCACCTCGGCGGCATTTGGTTTCAACAAGACGGCGCCACTTCCCACACATCGCATCAATCAATGAATTTATTAAGAGAACACTTTGGTGAGCAGATAATTTCACGTTTTGGGCCGATCAATCGACCACCAAAATCCTGTGATATTACACCGTTAGACTTTTTCCTGTGAAATCTAAAGTTTACGCGGACAGTCCCGCTTCGATTTAAGCCTTCGAAGCAAAACATTGCTCGTGTCATTCGCCAGTTACCAGTCATTGGACTCAACGGATGGACCATCGGAGACGTAGCTGCGGCTAACATTTGAAAGAGATAATCTTTAAAAAATCACCCTTTATATTGAAATAAACACTTTTTTTCTGTATATTTTTCTTAAAAAAAGTAGGAAAGCTCAAGATGTGTAACCCTGTACTAGACTGCGGGTTGACCGAAGTATACCAAAACAAAAATAATATTTTAAGCGCAAAGGAAAATACGAAAATGCATAAAAACAAAACAAGCAAACAGATCAACAATTGCTGCCGGTCGCTTTCAGATTGGAATACAGCTTGTGAAATCTTAAATGAAGTCTGGAATATCCAGATTTATGTTTTTACCGGCTTTTGTGCGGTTACTCAACAGCATGTCAGCGCTAAACACACATCATTTCTATACACACATACAGACATACAAAAGTGCAGAAGCTTACGCAAATTTAGATGCGCCATGACTTGCTATTTTCAACCTTTTTCCATGCAATACAAAACTATATTACAATTATGCATATTTACATACATATTTACATGTGTAAATACAGATATGCCGGTATCTTCAAATTGTCTCGACTTCAACAACAACATTGCTGTTACAAAACTCCGCGTACACAGTACTTTTCCATTTTCCTCTTCGAAACAAAAGTGCCAATTCATTGACAACATTTTCATTACCGACTGCGGTCTTAAAGAAAGGAAAAAAGGATCGGCTTGCAGGAAAAAAAACTGTTGCAAAAGAAATTGCAACAGTGCAAGCGTGAAAAGTGCATAGCTGCGATTGGTGTTACTGGAAAAACCGGTATTATGAAAGCAAACGAAATCACACGTCAATTGCTGGGAAAAGTTGCAGCGTGCAAATTCGTGGATTTCGTGTAGAAACTAAAAATATATGACATTAAAGTAAATAAATGTAATATCGAATGCGATGACGACGACACTATAAACATCGTACAACGTGCAATCGTCTGTGCAAACAATCAGCCAGGTATATTTGTTGGCTTGTTGGCTTGTTGCATTTCCCTCGCCACTCAAGAGCGTTGCATAATTTCCTTTCCGCCTGACTGGGTGAGCGGAAAAAGTTGTCTGTATTTGTGTTTGTGTGTCAATAATACAAATGACAGTTTGCGTACACAATTTTACCGTAATGCTTTTGTATATTTTTGTTTGCTGCTGAAATGCATGTGTATATGTATTGTGCCACGAATGTGCAACTACTTGTATAGTTAATAACACACAAAACTGATGCATTAAAATAAATCGAAAATCTTGAGAGAAATATACTAGTATTACATGAGATTCGAAAAATAATCGACACTTTGGGGAAATTAGGTTTACTTCTCAAAAATCTTTTTTACAAAATTTGTCTTCATTGTAGTAGGAACATATTTATACCCTGAACAGGCTACATTAAATTTGACACAATGTTGGTAAGACCCTAAAGGAAAGGCGGTGGCTCTATAAAATATATATCTAAATGAACAGCATGATGAGCTGAGTTGATTTAGTCATGTCTATCTGTCCGTCCGTCCGTCTCAGTTTTTGAACTATCGATCTGAAATTTCGCATCTGTCTTTTCCTCACTAAGAAGCTGTTCATTTGTCATATAAACTGCAAAATCGGAATAAAGTGCTTGTATGGAAAACTTTTTCATTTGACGAGATATCTTTACAAATATTGGCACAGATTTTTTTCGAAGAGAACGCTACAATATCTGAAGAAATTTTTTAAAAAGGACTACTACTATATCATATATGGTAGCTGGCATACAAACTGAAAGGTTAATATCAAGTTCTTGTATGGAAACTTGATTATTTGTGAAGAGTATACCAGCTAACAGTTAACATTTTATCTTGTTTTTTTTGTAGTTTTTAATAAATAGCATTTAATGAAGAATAATTTTACGCACCTCGATTTCAGGTATGCCTCGCGACAAATACGGCCTCAAATGTTCCAATGAACCTTTAAAGCACTCCACTAATTGCGGGTCACCTCGACGGCATTGTTTGATATACTCGGCTGTGAATAAATGATAAAGTATTAATTGTAAAGTATGCTACCAAAATAACAGTAGCAATTAACTTAAGTCAACTAAAAATTAAGCATGCTCAGTGTATGGTATTAAGCGTATTTTAATCATAAAAACACACACATCCACGCTTTAGTGCTTGAAAAAGCAGAAATAAATTACGTGGCTTTTTTATTTGACCGAAGTCTGGCAATTCGCATAACTTCGTCATTTATAGAAAAAATCAGTTGCTAAGACCACAGGGTACATATTAAATTTAAGTTAATATTAACTACTAGTTTACTTCACATCAGAGTAAATATAAAAATACATATACATACATATATGTATGCGCAAGTAATGTTCATAGTTTGGTCAAAAGTTGATCAAAGGATGTTTTTTTTTCATGCTTGAATGAAAAAAAAAGCCCGTTGTACTTACGAGTATATGCAAATTTAAGCGATTACAATTGCACACACATATCAGAAATACATACCATATACCCATACATTGACGTGGCTACCAAATGTGAATCTGTCCACTTTGACCGTTCATTAAGCTAATTACCTTTTGCAACGTACAAAATCAAGCTTCAACTGCTGCTAAGCGACAACGCATGCGCAGCTAACAAAATTAATATAGCATTGAATCTATTTCGCTACGCTATGTTGCTGACTGTCTGGCCAACAAATCACTTAACGGCATTGCATTTAAATATTATTTATTATTCGGTAATTTCCGGTCTTCTAGTGGTAAAAAAAAAAATAAATGCAGATTTCGGTACAAATACATAAATTGAGTTTTGTTCGCTCTTTACCTTGTTTACCTATTTACCCAGCGGCGTTTTGAAGCAGCCACCGTTAAAAGACCTTCAACTTGAAATTTTGTTTTGTTTATACTATATGTACTTATGTATTTGCCTTCACCGTTTTGTTTGCATCAACTAATGTGAACACCAAAAAGAGAATAAGCTTTGGTGTTTTTTGTATTTGAAACTTTTATTAATTATTTTGTAACTATTTTTTCTCATTTACACAAAACCATAGATTTCTATTAAGGGGTTACATGGGTCTTGTAAATTGAAAAAAATTAATTTTTTGTTGTTATACTATTGGTACAACTCGTTAGGAATATTGGCCGAAAATTTCAAACCGATCCGAGCCAGGCTCCAGATATATAGGGGTTTAGCGCACGTAGTTACGGTCGACTCGACTCGACCCGAACCGTCGTTAAACGCGTTTTTCTCAAAACTGCGTTTTTGTAGTCGATAGTCCAAATTTCTCGATAACTCATGAAGCGATCGACTGGACATTTTGCATACATATTTTAAACATGTTTGACTACTGCTTGAATGAAAGATGTTTTTTTCCATCATTTACAATTCTGTTGAGAGGGTAATACGCGGGCAAATTTAGTGCAAAAGTGCAATTTTCAAATTTCAAGTTTTCTTAAAATCCTTCATTCAAGTAATAGCTATACTCATCTACTGACAATATATTTTACTGCTAATTTTAATACATGATCGTGACATTATATACACACGGTGTAACAAGAAAAAAAAGATAATAATAATGCTGCTGCTTCAAAAAGCAATCCAGAAAATGAGCCATGTAACCCCTTAAAGCAAATATAATATATTGATAGTATGACCTAAGTAAGGTTAGGTTAGGTCAAGTAAAATTAAGTTGGGTTAATGAAGTCATGCGCTGCGCTCCAATTTTTATGCTAAGTAATCGTTAGTCAATAGTAATCAATATTTTCCTTATTCGCATAGCTTTATTTAAATTATTCTTTATATAAATAAACATATTATTCATATCTTTGGAATAAGAAAGTAAAAGTGATTTCATGCAACGCTTGTTGTTTTAATAAATAAATTCTGTTTTTGAAATATGAAAAAAGATTGGACGAAAATTGCTTAAGTTGAGTTTTATGTAAGTAGTATTTCTATTACACATGTATATGTAAGTCAACTATACATATTAGGACCAGAACTAAGCCTGCAACCATATATCATTCTAAATCTATTTTATCAAGGTTGCATTTCCCACATACTTGCAAATTGAATGCAGCCAATTTTGGAAACGTTATTAAATTTTCAAACGTATTTCGAAATATTCAGTGCTAACTTTTCGAGTGGTGTACTAACACATATATATAGGTTGGTTGAAAAGTTGCTGCGCTCGCAATGAAAAAATACTGTTTTTGGTACGAAATATATTTTTATATTCAATATAAATTCCCTTAACTTCAATACACTTATTCCAATGATCCTTTAATAATATTATGCCATCCCTATAATGACTTTCCGGAACCTCGGCAAAATACTCGTATACGGCTGTAATAGCTTCTTCATTAGACGAAAAACGCTTCCACGAAGGAATTGTTTCAGGTTTCTGAAGAGGTGGTAGTCACTGGGAGCCAAATCTGGTGAATACGGTAGTTCATCCAGCTGATCCAAAAGGCTGCAATAATATTCAGAGTTGATTGTTTTGCCTTTCTGCAGATAATCAATCAATAAAATTTCTTTTGCATCCCAAAAAACTGATGCCATAACCTTCTTTGCTGATCATTGTGACTTCACCTGCTTTGGAGCTGAACAACCAGCTTCAGTATAGTGTAAACGTTCTGGTGTCAATTTAGGATATGGTAGATCCAAGTCTCATCCATAGGTATAAAACGGTGTAAGAAATCGGTTTTATTCTGCTTAAAACGCTCCAAATTATGCTGAGAAATTTTTTTCGACCCAGTTTTTGTTGAATTGTTAACGTGTGCGGCACTAACTTTCTAAACAGCTTTTTCATATGTAATTTTCCATGTAAAATATGAAGTACTTATTCGTCTGAGATGCCTAACAACCTCTTTACTAACAATATTATGAATTTGTTCAATGATTTCTAGTGTGCTTGCGGTTTTTGGTCGTCCTTCGCGTGGATCGTCTTCACGCCTAGTACGACCACGTTTAAATTCACGGTGCGTTTTGGAGTTGAGGACTCCTTATCCACTTCTAACAATTTTTCATAAATTACTTTGCTTTTAAAACTTTCAAAACAAAGAATCGAATCACTGCGCGATATTTAATTTTTTCCAAATTTAAAAAATATAATATAATTTAAAAAATATAATATATTATATATAGGAAAAGATTTCAATATATATATATATATACCTATATTGTATACTGTTACAAATTCTCTGCGCATGGTTCCTTAGTAACTAAAACCCAATATTATTATAATGTTAAACTATTTAAAATTTAATCACTTAAATGTATTTGCTAATTTTTAAAAGTTAATATTAACAAACATATATATGTACAACCGGTTGATATATTGTATAAGTAAATAAACAAATTCTACTTTTACTTTTACGTTGGGTAAAAATTTTAAAGCACACTCCTCCCATTTTTCGAGGTGCAAAGCCCGTTTGTGTCGTGTTTTCATATTGTCCTTTAAGTAAATCACTTAACTAGTCAAATCTACTGTTCATTCTCACATACAAACATTACAACTTACGTATATCACTTTTTTGTGCGAAAATTAATTGAAATGCAGCAAAGTAAATTACTAATTTCCACATCTTCACTTGCTTAGTAAACGAAATATCACAGCAGAAAATATTTATTATTTCTTTTAGCTTCAGTTGGAGTTTCTTTCCTTTTGGTGTTTTTTTTTTTTGTTTTTTGTTTACTTGCTATTTACGAGGCCACCGTACAAATTACACAACAATGAAAATTTTTACTGCTTCAGTGAATGGTTATGGACGAAGATTCGTAGGATTTCTGTTTTTTTTTTTAATAAATCTATCACTAATTATTTCACGCAAGGAAACTACTGCGTCAACGCACGACGAGATGAGAATTTCATCTGATGGTTGGCTTGTAGACGCCACGAGATTTAAAACTTCGCAACGATCTCGATGACTCGATTTGCGGCAGTTTGCTTGGTTAGATCTAGCCACCAAACCTGGTTGGCACATGCTAAGCAACATTCATTCGTACATTTGGTGTATCAACAACAATAGCGGTATTCACTCGTACGAGTGCAACGAGTGCGTACAAATCAACGAACTGGTTAACAAAAGAACAAAAATATATACTTGTATGGAACAGTAAAAAAGCGCGCAGCAAGACCGCGACACAGCGGGATGGATAACAATACGAGATTGAGAGATGAGATATTTTTATGATAGGCTTCTAGAATTTTATTGTTTTATTACTTACATTTTTGTATAGAAAAATGCTTGAAGATTGTTTGGATATTTGTAAAGTAATAAAAAAAAAATTAAAAATAAATAAAACAATTCACACATCGCATGTGTTAGGGAATTAGAAATTCTAACTGGATGTGTCAATAACTATGCCAACTAACAATGTTTACAAATAACGCTGACTTTTATCACATATGTATATGGTATACTTATTTTGGCAAATACAGTGTATTATTGAATATTTACACAAATTAAAATCGCGTGGAAAAGGTTTCAAAATGTAAAAATGTTATATAATATTTCCCAGTTTACTGACTCACAGTCAATTGGTTCCCCGTCAAAATTAGCGCTTTCAAATTTTAAATAACGTTGTAAGTGCCAGCTTATAATCTGTAGAGGCTACGCAAGATGCTCAACTAAGTTTCTAAAGTATTTTTCCCCTTTTTTCCGTATTTATTGAAGATTGTTCTACCCGAAGAACACGGTGGACTTAAGTAACCTCAAACACTGCTTGGCATGCATAATAGTTGTTGAAGGTGGAACATGATTATGTTGCTTAAGTATGTTTTAGAAGATGTCACCAACATCGAAGTCAGCCACATCTATTGCAAACACTCTGCCTAAAATATCACATTAGAGGCCAGCAATTCTTCTTAGAAGTTTCTATGGCAGAGTGCAAATTGTTATAAGAGATAAGAAAGCGGAAGTCTATTAAAGCTACCGAGACTACCTAATAGGGTTGTCTGCTGGGACTCAATACATCACAAATTTTATATTATATGCGCTTATGTAGAATTTTAGATTTCATTACTGTAAGAAAAAATCTAGCCTTTTTCAGTAAATTATTAATTTTGATAAAAACAGCCGTAGCGCGAAAAATCAAATAAATTAACATGAAAAGTACGAGTATATTTTACGAATTTAATTCGTTTCTGGATGTAATGCTTCAAGCGAGGCAAATATAATATTTAGTGTGGCGTAGTTTAGCACTTGCACACTGGATACTTAAATTTATGGCAACAGACTATACAAAATAATTTCATACATACATACATGTATACAAGTATTAAAATGTACGAGTACATAATTGTGGGCACACTCAGTTTTTAGGCATTATGTAAGTATTTACAAAACAAAATATACGAAATAAAAAATACAACTTGCAAAGGCACCAAAGCAGAGATGTATGTGTTAGCCGAAACCAACAAGCAAAAAACGTTTAAACTGAAATTCTCGCTGGCGATTCCGGCAGAACGTGGAGTTTAAGTACCCGTTCAGCAGGGTGCTCAAGAAATTGGCGTTTTAGTGAGAGCTTTGGCGATGCTTACCATATAACATATTAAGCATTACAAAGCACACAAGTGGCCATTAAAATAGTTACACAACTGAGTCAAGAAAACGCGATTTATTTTACACGTTTCACTTTTAGTTCATTATATTATTATTTGCCTTACTCGAATATAAAATGTTTATTTCTATTATAAAATTAGCGTAAGATTAACCTATACTCTGGACTTAAACTAGTGTATTCACAATGATTCCTTTTCTAAAAATAAAAAAAGAGCGCGCTTTTCATGTTATTTATTTTCTTGTTAATAAAGCATAAAATTAACATAAAAATAAAATACTATTATTAACTTCAAAATCAATATATATGTACCCATTTCTCCGTACATATGTGTATACTCGTACAAGCAAATATGAGCATCTCAAGGATATCCGCTACGACAAGAATCCGACTATTTAAGTGGCCACTTGTGTATATCATATTTATACTATAAATTAATTTGGAACTGCTACCAAACTGTGGACTGCAAACTACAAAAATAACAAGGAATTAACAAATTTGCATACATTTTAAAATATAAAAAAGTAAGCAAATCAATCACAAGTTACTTAACAGACAGAATTTTACTTCATCGTACAGCTGTCTTTGCATAGATTCGTTCAGCAATAACAACATATCAGCGTATACATACATATATTAACAGCATGAGCCTATGGTCAATTAATGATGAAAAGGTCTACTGACCCATTACCAAATCCAAAGATCTCTATTTAAACTTGTTCAGCTTCAAGCAACGGTTAATTAAACTAACAACTTAATCACAATAGCGTATGTCTGCTGTCTACGCATCGCTAGTTTTATTATAGGGTAAGAAGGTATTAAGTCATAGCAAGTAGGTAACAACTAATAGCATGTTAACATACTAACAAAACCTAGAAGCAAACACAGACACACACCCAACTGCGTCTTAGAAAACCTTTCAATTTCTCATTGTTTTGTGCCCAACAAATTTTCTGTGCCAAAGTCGTCTTCTTTGCGACGCTTTTCGTTGCTCTTTTTGTTTTCGGTTTCATTGCCTACTTCTTCTTCTTTTTTTTTTTTTTGTTTTTTTTTGTTGTTGCTATTATACAGCTATTTCTATAGTTGTATATAGTTTTTCTATTTGTACAGCTTAAGTACATATTTGCATTCATATGCACATAGATATGTGTGTACTGTAGTCTATTGCGAAAGCTTAGGGGAAATTAAGAAAAACCTTTTTTATTGAAAATATTCACTCTATATACCCTTTCGCTTTTAAAAGTAAAAAAAATTTACATGAACCATTTCGTAAACGAGAACAATTGAGTGACACAGATTTGCATATACAACCATTTGCGCTGTTAAAGAAGTGATTTTACTGAGGGCATCAAAGACTTCCGGTGAACATATTGTAGTTCATTATATTTGCAGCAACTCGCCGAGGAGAAAAGCGTTTATTTTTACGAAGTGCTTTTGTATAGGCTAAACAATAGACTCACAATTCTTTCTTTGCATACAAAATTCATATTTCAATATTTTAAACATACATTCAAGTGGAACTTCCTGACCATTGACATGACTTTGCACCTATCCACACGGTTACTTATTTAGTGCTCCGTTTCTGCAGAACTTTTTTTAGCCGCAGAACTTACTAGTAATAAGGCAGCTATTCAAACGCAACTGGTAATATTGCAGAAAAAATATTACCAAATTAAAGATGGAAGACAAATAAATATTTAGGAAGTTTTTATAAAAAACCTTTATAAATATTAATTTACAGCTAAAAGAGAAGGAGTCTTAGCTTTCAAAAATTTAAGAGCAGAGATTAAGCACATTTTGGAAAGACTTTGTATTACTGTTTTACAAAGTTCATCCAGCTGCTAATTGTATATAATTAAATTTATTACAAAGCTCGTATTAGATCATAAACTAGAAATTAATTTCAATTATCCTTATATTTTTGTTCTTCTCTTTAGCATATGCAAACAATAATTCAATCAAACAACATTCAAGATAAAATATAGTTCAATAGTGCCGCAAAAGTATACGCTTTCTGAATAACAATTACCTACAAGTAATCAATATGACAATTACAGCTTTGTAAGAACTTTTCTACATTATTTAACTTGTATGAGAAATTTCAAACTGTTTGTGTTCTAAGTACAATACTATTCAACTGCATTCATCGTGTTCTATATACAATAACCACACGTGCCCAGCTAATCCATCTTCGACACTGAGAAACTTCAGAATGCATATATGCAGCTACATATTATACATAAGTACACATATCTGCCTATTATGTCTATATGCTTATTGGTATCATAAGCAGAGCACTTGTGACAAACAATTGAGACCGATTGCTATTGTGCGAAGTTACTTTTTTGCCTTACTCTTTTCAAGCGCATGTACTTTGATTCGCAGACTCAATCTCATTTCCATGCCATTCGCGTTCGGTTCCTTACAACTGCACAAGGTGATCGTAAAAAATATTCAACAACAGATTTAAATGACTAAAAAAAAGTTTAAATGACATAAAATAAATACGGCGATAATAACAGAGGCACAATATTAATGGCAAGAAAGAACACATTAGGGCATTTAGACTAAAGTCGTTAATATGGCGTCGGTACGAGTATACCCGTCATCATCATATTTGACATCATGTTCAATTAGTTGTACACCTACGAGTAGTATATGCGTGTTTTGAAAAGTTTACATAAACAAAACACGTTGGAGAAATTAGAAAAACCGAATTGCTTAGCACTAAATAAGCCAGTTCTCATTGTTTGTGGTAAAATATACATAAATCAAGAAAAAACGTAAACTCCGGTTGCACCGAAGCTATGGAATAGTAATGGTTCCCCATACTATTGACAACAACTCATCAAATTAAAGCGAGCGATTGCTCAAAAATACCTGGAATTTGCGACCAGACACATGACAACGCTTGGCCTCATGTTGCAAGCCCGGTTTAAAACTATTGGGAAAACAGCAATTGGAAAGTTTTGCCGCACCCGCCTAATAGCCCAAATCTTGCTCCTTTTGACTACCTTATCTCATTCATGTAAACATTATTGAACTGCAGTTTCCTGTAGCGAACTCTTTGTCGCTGTGTCATGAGAATGCGCTCAAATAATAACAGAACTTTGACACTAGTTCTACTTTTCACATATAAAATATTAACGGCATTAAGAAGTTAAAGAAAACCAGTTCATTGTAATTTTCCAATGTTCGTCATTACAATGACATAATTACCTTCATATACTATTCAAGTTTTATTATAATCCTTTTTAACGACACCACTAATAATAGGAAAAATACAAGTGAGAAAGCAGAGGATGCATACTGTATGAAGAAGTGTTTACAAAATGAAATCAACAATGTTCAACACACAAATGGAAGTGCTGTAAAGTAATGAATAAATTAAGTTCACATAAAACCGGACTGCAAATATATATATATATTTTTACTTACAATAACATTGACCTTGCTAAAGCGAATAAGATGAGTAAATATTTGGCAATATTATGTGACTGTGGGAGCCGTCGCAACATTTCAAGTGATTTAATAATATCAGATAGCAAGGTGGTCCTGCCAGCAAACGCAGTAATGTAAAAAGAAGCAGTTCAACAAGAAATTACAGTGGTCAATTATAGAGTTATATGCTTACAATTCAACTTATTGAGACACATGCAAGTAGCTTTCAAGCATATATCCAATACTAACTGTCAAATTCTACTGAAACATCAAGTGCCAGCCAAAACAGGTTGTAACAATTGAGTAGAGCAAATTTACCTAGTCGGCTTTGCCGCCGGAACTTAGGCGTAACAGTCTGAATACAATTCAATTAGCTGATACATCTTGACGTTTAACTCTGGTATACTGTATTTTCAATCAGTGCAATATGGCAACGTAATAACATAGTTTCTTCACATCAGCGGAGTTCTAAGTAGAATTTTTCTCTCGATATGGTAACGGAAACAATGCAATGGTTTTTTTCATTGACGACTTCCGCGGTTCAATATGCTTAACATTTACTTTATTTTAATATATTATATAACCTGCGTACAAGCGTGCTTCACATTTGTTAAATAAATTATAATAAATAATTTAAGGGTTGTATGGTTTTCCAGGCTTCATAATATTTTTTTTTATTATCTTATTCAATTCTATAACATCTCTAGAATATTGTCGGAAATTCTCAAGTTGTTCCCAGTAATAGTTTTGGAGATACATCTTTGAAAATTCGCGCGTTCGAGATCAGCTATATAGTCAAAGTTTTCAAAGTCTGTTGTGAAGATTTCTCGCGAACTATTCAACTGATCCTAATGAAATTTTACATAACTCTTCGAGATATAATTTATAAGGTCTTAAATGAAGGATTTTTTGATTTTGTTAAATTACAATTATTCAGAAATGAAAAGCGTAAAGAAATTTTCAACAAAATATGAATTTTTATATGAAAAAAAAATTATTGAAAAGCCGTTTTTACTTGACGAAACCCATATAACCCTTAAGATAACAAATTGCATTTAAAATAATAAATCATTAATAAGTTTATTTAAACCACTACTGTAGAAACACGTACACAGCCTAAAAGAAGGCAACATATATAAATGCGCACAAAATACAATAGCGGCCACTTAATTAGGCAGCCAACTAGTTATGTAGATATGCAATTAATATGCAATGCAAACGACAGCATAACTTTGGAATTTTTGTACAATTACCTTTTGTATTAGCTTTTCAAGAGGTAATTTGTAATATCTTATACAAAATAGCTGTCACAATTCAGAGTGCATTGACATGAGACAACGCCAATTTGAAATTCAAAATGGCAAATAAATTATTTGCACGTAAATATTTATGACAAATGTAACTGCAGACAATAATAATTTCAAGTTTATTGTAACGAAAGTTGCATATTTTCAATTGCAAAGAAAGCATCAATCACACAAGTGTGTAAAACGTTGACATTAAAATTAATTTTTTAAGCAGTTAACATGTTCTTGATATCCTCAACTACTATGTTTATTAAAGTATGGCTTGATGGTTGCATGACTTCTTCGTGTGAAATTAATTGCGTGTGTGTTGCATGTAACTGATTTGTATAAAGGTCATTTAGCTTGAGCCAACCGCTTGTGCACTTGTGAGTAAATATGCATGTATAGGTGTACTTGGGTAAGGTTATTACTATTTCTTTATTTGCAAAGGTAATTATGACAGCAATGGGGGCACTGGCAGTGGCAGTGGCAGAGCTGAGGAAGAAAGCGACTAAAGGTAAGTGCCCTGCAACAACGAGTGACATTGAATTCATATGCAAAACATTCATCACGCAGACCGTCATTAACATTACTACTGTAGGACATACATACCTACATACAGGTTGGTTGAAAAGTTTCTGCGCACTAAATGAACCAATACTGTTTTTGGTACGAAATATATTTTTTTATTCAATATAAATTTCCTTAACTACAATACACTTATTCCAATGATCCTCCAATAATTTTATGCCATCCCTATAATGACTTTCCGCAAGCTCAGTAAAATACTTATCTACGGTTGTTTTAACTTCTTCATTCGACGATAAAGCTTTTCACGAAGAAATTGTTTCAAGTTTCTGAAGAGGTAGTTGTCGCTTTTCTCACGAATTTTTTCATCCAGCTGATCCAAAAAGCTGCAATACTATTTAGAGTTGATTTTTTTAGCTTTCAAAAGATAGTCAATCAATAAAATTGTGTGCGGCACAAACTTTCCGGTTTGGTTGTGGTTTTTGGTCGTCCTTCGCGTGGATCGTCTTCAAGCCTAGTACGACCAAGTGTAAATTCACCAGGCCAAAATACAACGGAGCGTTTTAGAGTTGATGACTCCTTATACACTTCCAACAATTGTTCATAAATTTCCTTCCAAAAAAATATTTGGAGCTAGTATTGCTATATCTTGGTGAGGCCAGCAACTTTTCAACCTACCTGTAAATTTAAAATATAAATTCATACCGTAAAACGTTCTGCACTTTATTTCTGTGTAGTTTTTATGAATTCATTTACTTCTTATTCATTTGGAAGCGATGCGAAATTTTTTTTTCAGATATCATTAAGCTCTTGTGTAGTTGTGAATGTTTATATATAATAAAAAAGCTGAAGGATCATATGATGAAAATTTATAAACAATGATGGTTGGTAAATGGTCAATTATTGATCCAGGAAATATTTGTTCCTAAAAAACGATTTAGACAGCTACTTAATTAAGTAAATTTATGTTATTTCTTCATACCACCACCGACAACATTTAAAATGCCAAAACTTTGAAAAGTTTTTGTATGATATTTTTCATTTAAAAGATCCTTGTATGATTTCATGATTTCATGATTTCAAGAAAATGTCAACTGAAACGCTGTCAAAGTGCTACCACTGACGGTATAACTAATTTTGTATTTGTAGTTAATATTTTAATGTTTTGTTGACACCACTTCTTACACAGTCATGTATTTTATGTTGCATACCATACGCGTAATTATTATGGCATGATGCTGAGAGGGAACTCCCATACTATGGGTCTTTGTCTCGAATCAAGTTAATGGGCTTGAGCGTGCGCTTGTGTGATGTGTCTTTCAGACAAACATATATACATACGTTCCTAACGTTATGCACTGAGGGGCTTAGTAGACAAAGACACAGGTTAAGAATTACATATGTTGTTGTTATTTGTGTGCTGCTGTAGACTAGTATTACGAAAATGCTGCCGTTGTCATTGTCGTGCGTAAAGATGCGCTCAGTTATGTTATGTTACAGATGAAGACTTCACTAACATACATATTATAATTGTTTTGGTATAAAAGTGGTCAAACAGCCATAATATATACTATACAAACATGCGTAAATATATGCACGCACATAGGCATATCTACACATATGTCTGAGCCTAGCCATTCTTTGCTTACTTTCAACATTTCTTTGCTCTACACTTTCGGCTCTTTTAACTTAATTCGAACTTGTTGGTAAACCCCGATGACCGTACAGGCACATGCACATGTATATGAGTATGTGTAAATTCTTGCTTATATATTGTGCCCCACTGCATCATACAATTTTGCTTTCTCTACTTGCGCACGTTATTGCCTTTTCATTTTGGCTTTCTGCATTTCTTTTGCTGCTGTCGTCCGCACATAAAAAATGGACGCTTTTGCCTCGACACTTCTGGCAACACAACCTGGTTAAAACACCTTGGCCGACAAAGTTTCAGCTCATTTGTGACCGAAACCGCGTGAAAGTAGTACGCTGCCGCGAATCTCCGTAAATGAAAAAAAGTATTTAAGAAAATAAAGAAGAAGACAGAGTAAAAAAAAGTCAAATCTGACTAACCATTCGTTATAAAAAAGCTACACACGTGTGTGTGTTTCTTTACTAAAAATTCTTGCCTACGACTAACTAGTGCTGGGAGCGCTTGAAGCGTTCTACATACATATATATAAAAATATACGTACTAATATATTTTGTTGTGTGTTGCGCTTAATTTTTAAAGTCTTGACCTAATTTTCGTATTGCTGGCATTCCAGTGATATATTTTATTTTTCTTGCTTTGTTGTTGTCAATATTGGCCTTCGAAGAAACGCCGCGATTTCGTGTCTCAAAGTGAAATTGTTTATTACTTAAGTTCTGTGAAACGAGCGCCAGTTGCACTTTCGCTGGCAACGATCGCTCGAGAGACGACAAACACTCATCTCTGTAAAGACGGTACACCTCGAATTGGTGCTAATTGGGATCACTTTTCAAGAGGTGTTAACTATTTTTATGCGTTTTTTTTATCTTTTTACAAAGTAGCTAACACTTTTACTTTCCGCGCGGTGAAAATAGAGTCAATTAATATGTTTAAGCTTGGTTTAATTTCGATTTTAACACTAATCAGCTGGATTGCAACAAATGCTCAGGACGATGTGCAACGTAAGTGTTAAACTTTTTTTAAATTTTTTTACTGCGCATTTGGAGACAATTTGATATCTCAAATAAAACAAACAAAATATATATATTTTTTTTGCACCAAATATTTATGTAGCAGTTATTTATTTGCTAAACTAACAATGTTTAGTTTGAAACTTGAGTTTTATTTTTAATGAAGTCAAAGTGATGCCAACCCAAGAAACAAACTCTCTAAATTAGCGTTTCTAGGAAGCTAATAGTTTTATGGCGAATGTACACATGAATACAAACCACTTGAACATAACGATAAACGCTTTTTTCCATTTATGTTTCCTTTTACGGATTTTTGCACTGTTCTGTGCGTCTTAAAAATGTAAACTCAGGGTTGTCTGCTTCAGTAGCCATACGCAAATCAAAACTATAATCCAGTAGCCTTATGTATATATCAGAAACCGTAAGCATTATAAGTTTTAATTTAAAAATCACGTACTAATGACTACACATTGTGTTTTACGATTTTCTTTACCGACAATGCTTAATTTTGATTTTTTTTACAATAAATCATAAATAAATATTATTTTTGAGCAAAAAAAAAGATTTTTAATCATTATTTTGAGCAAAAAAAAATCAAAATCACAAATAATGATTATTTTTATTATAATTTATTTAATTATATTATATAATCATTATTTGTGATTTTATTTTTTTTGCTCAAAATAAAATTAAATTTAGATCACAGGTTCCTTATGAAGTGTTTTGCTAACTTCGTTGCATGCTCTTATCTCTTTTGTAAATAACACTAAAATTTGGTAAGAAATTATTATTTCGATGAGCTCGTTGCAGCTACAATCGTATTTGCCGACAGAAATTACTTTTTGAATAACTTTCATGTTTCGAATACGATAGCAATAAAATTTGCAATAGTCTTGCAAGCCAGGACATACATATATCCTGTGTGTGACATTTCAAGACCCTAGCTCAATACTCACACTCGATATTATTTTTTCTAACTTTTGGAGGGGCGTGGTTACACCATAACATAAATTTGATCCTCGAGATTTGTTCTAAAAGAACATGTAAGGATGTTATCAAAAACGTTCATAAGAAACCTGTGATCTTAATTTAGTTTCATTTTGAGCAAAACAAATATAAATCACAAATAATGATTATGTAATATATTTAAATAAATTATAATCAAAATAATCATTATTTGTGATTTTTATTATTATTTTTTTTTTTGGCCAAAAATAATAATTATTTATGATTTATTGTAAAATTAATCAAAATTAATCATTATCGGTGAAGAAAATCATAAAAATCCGAAATTAAAAAATCATCATGGAAATGTTAATTAAAATCGTCGAAAAAGAATTAACATGACGTTTTTTTGTATGTCGATTCTAAGTGCTTGATTTTTTCATTTAAAAATCGCAAAAATAACCGTTATTTCGGTCCTTGCTATATATTTATAGATGAAAAACGCAAGGCTTAGTCTGTTTTTTGACGAAAAGTGTTGTGTCATTATTCTAAATACAAATGAATATGTAATAATAATGGCAACTGTCACCTTTGCCATAAACCTGCAGAAAATACTCAGAATTAAACTCAAAAGCTCATTCCATGCGCACAAATTACTTAATTAAAGAAAATGCTTGCATGCTAAAAATAAACATCGCAAAAAGCCAATAATATTAGAAAATACCTAATATTTGTGGGTATTTAATATTTATTGCGTTTTCTTTTGAGCGTTTTTCAATTAAGTGCATATATGCTTTTTTATTTTTACTATTATGAAACTGCAAACGTTTTTGTTTTTGTTTTTCTATTTCGTCGTATGCAAATTTATTTCGTGTGCACTGTTAGTGTACGAGTAATTTCCGACCGTGTTAGCGTTTTAGTGCTCATAACCGTTACTTTGTGTCGTCAAAACATCAATTAATGCTGCTGCACTTTTTTATAATATGTTTTTTATTAAATTTTTTTTTGCTGGAACTTGTTTTGTTTTTGTGCTTTCAGCCTATTTTCTACAACAGTGCCCGCGCGATGAGGAATACATTAACGAATGCTTGCGTGACAGTGGCAATAAATTGGTGCATTACTTGCGCCAGGGTGTACCTGAGCTGGATATTTATGACGTGAGTATCGGAAGCTTACACCCACCAAAAGATTGCTTTATCAACATATATGTATATACATATGTATGCGTTAATGTACTCTTAGATCGAACCGGTTATCATTGATGAGATTGGTATTGTGCTGGGTAGTGGACCTGACGGTTATCGCGCCCTCTTCCGTAATATACAAGCATATGGTGTTAGTAATATAACTGTAACGAACGTGCGGTGAGTATAACTACAAACTAACCAAAGTCTTGCTTCTTGATTTGATATCTCTACACAGTACTAATTTTTAAGCTAATCGACCGAGTAAATTACATTTTTAACTTTGAAAGCAAACAGACAACAAAGTTCCAAAAGGCCCTCAAATATGTTTTAATTTTTGTGTTTCTTAATTTTATTATGCTTTTGGAACTAGTGAGCGTATATACTTACATATATAGCTCTCATTTCCTTTTAGACAATTTCGATCCTTATTCTAATAAAAGGCATATTTATAAATAAGAAATTGTGTTCCTAGGATACAGATGCTGCTGATTTTTAGTGCCACCATAAACATTTTTAGCTGCAAGATTGGTTCCACAGTAGTTCCTTTTTAATATTTATATTTTATTTATTTTTTTTATTAGGTGTTATTAAAAAAAAAAAGCAAGCAGTCCTACCATCCACAGAACACGATTGTTTTTGCGGAGCTACAGAATATTATATAAAAACATATTCTAACCCCTAGATTCTGGTATAAACGAGTATATGGTGTTCTAACCCCTAGATTCTAGTATAAACGAGTATATGGTATATGGCTAAGCATGCCGCCAAGACACTAGAAGAAAGCAATATGACACTATTTTCTGTCCAAGTTTCCACCAGGAAAGACTGTCGCTAGCTGTTTAAAAAAAACACTGTTATTTTTTGTTTTTGTACATGCGTTATAAACGTAGTGCACTTTTCACTAACATTATTTTTAATAAAATATTTTCTTTTGTTTTTTTAAGTAGATTTTAATGTTCGCCTAAAATAATTTCTTACGTATTTCCTTTGCATATAGAAGTATGAATTACTTAACTTTTAATTCCTGACCTGTTAAAATATTTAGACGGTTCTGCACTTTTATGTAAAAGTTAATGAACAGTGCTTTGAATGTATTTTGCGTGCTCTCAAGGTATATAAACCTTATATCATGTCATTACGGCTTAAAGTTGCGAAATTCATTTTAAATTATAGGGAACGGGAGTTTGTGGTTAGAGAAAAAATTGTAGAAAAAAATCTTACATAAACATTTTGCTTTTTGTAGAATTTATTGACTGGAACATTAAACAACAATCGGCTTTGTTAGCTAATATTTATAGGTTAGGTTAGGATGTGTTAATAGGCCGATCCTGTTACAATCGACAATAGCGATTTCCGTTGAATAATTCGACAAAGCTTTAAAAAGTATTTAATAAATTTAAAATTATAATATAATTTAGCACTACATTCGCTACAAAACATCGATACACATTACGCAAATAGAAAGTGTATCTTAAAGCAATTATATAATAAAAGATTTACTCAAAAATCCAATCGGCCTAATGGTTGATTTTATAGCAACAGAGAGTGCACCAAAACCTATTAGTCACAAGTATTTTTAATATGGCAATCAACCATAAATGGCAATCAACCATAAAAAGTTTGGTGTAATAATAAAATAATAAGTTTAAATAATACGTAATAGAATTAAAAGGGTTATTACGATGGAAATATTCATTAACTGCTTACTTGCCCATGTCTCAAACAACGAGTAATTAATAGTCAATTACTTTTTAACATTTGACATGAATTCTCTTTAATATTATATCAAACATTTTATGTTTGAGCTTTTTAATTAACTCTATGATGTGAGTAGCCTTAACTCATAAACTATTCGGTTGAACATGGGGCAAAGTCAAATGGTATGCTATTTACATCCATCAGTCAGAAAGTATTCTAAGGAGGTATTCTAGTCTAACGACATGAATTTTAGGTAATTTTCAAAGTGTTGTAAAAAAAAGGCAATCAATATTTTTACTCAGTTATTTATTAATGTTACAAGAGTACAGAAAAAAATTTAAAAAAAAGTTTAAAATTTAAAAAACTGGCTGCTGATGAAGTGGGGGGTCTCAAAAAATTGGCACATGAGCATACCCATGATTTCAACCCTCCAAGTCATCTGAAATGAAAAACCAAGATTATCAATCTGCAATGATGTTGCAATTGTATAAACTAGCAATAAGTAAAATAAAAACATTTTTTAACAAAATGGCGACTGTTTGAAAAAAAAACAAATTTTTCTACCATTATTATTTATTTTTTCGTATTTTTTAAGTAAAAATTGATACTCCAGAGAGGTCTATAAAAAGATTCTCTAAAATATTTTAAGTAAGTACCATTATTTTTTATTTTTTAGTATTATTTAAAAATAGTAAAAATTTAAATTTGGGGATGAGTCTAGTTCATACTCGAGAGGGGTATATAAACAAGAGTCTCTGAAAATTTCAAATAAATCGGTACGGTAGAGCTCGAGAGAAATCGTGGGTACCGTATTGAAAAAGTCTGGTCTGAGAAGAACACATTTCAAATTTTGCGTAAAGTCTTTCGTTCAATTAGATCCAGCCGAACCAGTTTGGAGGCCGGCCAGCAAAATGTCTATATCTTCGAAAATAATTTAAATTTTAAGTTAAAAAGTTAAACATTGAAAATATGAAAACAAAAAATCGATTTTTTTGAAATTCTGCACTAAAATATCCCCCTAAAAATGCTCTAACACACTTAAACAGTTGTTTTCTAATTCGGTCCAAAGTACGGGAAATATGAAATTCATAGGCGCATTTATTCAAATTTTTGCACATGAAAATCACATTTAACAGAAAATCGAGCACTGTCATCAGTGTATGTAATTACGATACGAAAAAACGACAACTCAACTATACATACTATATTTGCAATAAGCTCCCACTAAGAAACTTAAAGGTGGTCATACTTGTACTGGTCCACGGTGACGACTTCACTAATAAACTACATATTAGTTTTCCTTATTGCTAGTTTACATATCAAACTACATACAACATATATGTATATGTGTAGAACGTGTTTACGTAGATATGCTGGCGTATGGTTAAAAATGAGGTAAACACTTTCATACATGTAGTGGTATTTATGACAGCGTATGTGATGTTTATCATACGCCATCGCAAACTGAAGCTCAGCGGCCAAATTTTATTTACCCTGCGCCTGCTGGCATTAACGACCGTCGCGTGTAGTAAATTAGACATTAAAATGATTTGTGAGCACAAACCAGTACCTTTACACACATTCACATGCGAGCTCAAAATCGTACAAAACACATTACATACACGTATTTGTATGTATGTACTTACAAGTATATGTGTATAGAATCTAAAGATGTTGCTTACAAATTACATAAATGTTGATTGCCACTGCATGTGGACTGTGAGTAAAAAAAACACTGAATATGTATTGTATAAATAAACAAAAACATATAAGAATCGGAACACCAAAAATATACAGCAACAAAAACATTTGCAACGCCGGTGTTTCGCTGCATGCAGCAGCATTCAAGGTTAAAAGCGTCAAATGTTTAAGTCGTTTACGCCTTTAGCTCCAACGTCGACTGCAAGCAATTGAGAAATTTGCTAAATTGTCATTTGCTTAGCACTTTTTGGTGCGACTTGAAGTTGCATGCAACCGTTTTTTGCCGCTTTGTGTTGGTATGGCTAGTTTACATAGTGCTTGTGTATAGAAACAGCTACTTTGCCAATTTGTATCAAGGTGAAGAGTACAGCGCCGACAAATTTGGCACCGTCTCTTCATTTGTTTTGCGTGCGTGTTTATATGTATGAATGGTAAACATTGAAATGTCAAATGCAATTGTTATATACGGCTGTCATTCACTAGGCCAAGTCAATATGACTTAGGTCATGGTATACGGTGAAGCTCAAGTCTTTGTTAACGGACTTGAATAGTGCTAATAAGTGATCCACTCTTGGATGTGTGTATGTAAACACATACATATGTATTTGCTCAATCGGGGCTGCTGTTTGAGTGAGAGATTAATGTTTTTACTGTTTTACTATTAGATACTTTTTTGTACTAAATTAGCTGGTTTATATATAGATGTTATATACTGGAGGTTAAGCTTTAAAATAACCGTTTTTTTTTCTGCAAGACCCTAGTACAAAAGAAGTCATTAGTAGAGCGAGGGGGGTCAAATGGTATTTAAAAAGAGCTATCGTTAACAGAAATTCGATGTCCTTCTAACTTTTTACTGAAAACGTTGTAAAATTGTTTTCGATTGTCTTATTAACTGGGAACTGATGAAACGGCTGGAGACCTATAAAAGACCAATTAAAGACTCATAAAAGTCGTTTACGCACATTCTTTGAGGTGATAGTGGCTTTAATCATATCTTTCGAATCGATATAGCGCATTCTGAGTGCGAAGACAAAAACAAAATTTGAACAAATAGAACGTTTTGTAGCAGTTGCTCTAAAGCTGTTTGCATACAAAAAGCAACACCCAATCAAAGTTTAGCCACCTCATTCTCCTATTTGACTGTGGTCTTAGAAAAATTTACTGAAGCAAGGTAGCAAATTGTATTAGACACTTTCCAATAGCAAAAATTAATTGCAGATATTATATAATAACTATTTTAATACACCGATATTGTGCATATTTAATTCAATGTACATACTTTTATGATTATTTATAAATGTTACGCCATTCTCGTTTTTTACAGTTCCGATTTGGAGACTTTACAATTCCAGTTGACTTGTGAAATTCCACACATTAAAGTACGTTCGCAATACCGTTCGACCGGCGTTTTGATTTTGGTGAAAGCCTCAGGTGCTGGTGATTACTGGGGCGAATATGGTGAGCGTCACGTTTTATGCTTCTAAAAGTTAAATATTTATGCTATTTTCACTTTTTCATAAATATATTTTTTTTAAATATATTAATTTATTATATTGCATTTTACCTTAGACGGCGTCAAAGCAAAAATTTATTTCAAAGCCATTCCTAATTTGGCTGACGATGGACGCACATACCTAACAGCCGATCAGGTTAAAATGGATTTCAATGTAAAGGAAATCAAAATGGGTGTGGATAATATTGCTAATGGCAACACAGTGATACGTGAGTATACCACAAATTCGGCTTTGTGAAACTACACGCTACGAAACAAAAAAAGACCCCAGCAAGTGTTTTTTACAAAGTCATTGTAAACGGTATTGGGTACTGCCCGAACTAGCATTTAGGCTTCACACGGCTATGCAGAGAAACTTTTTAGATATTTCGCCTTACATTTGATTTGATTAATTTCGAAACAATCGCTTGTGTGATTAGCTCTTGTACTTTGTGTTTTCTTGAAAATAAAACCAAATCATGCCTAAGCAAACGCCGCTTAAGAAAAGACGAAAATGCAGCCGAGATTAAAGCAGAGTTTCAACAATCATTTAGGAATGGTATTTCAACTTAAACAGTTCAAAACTTAGCGAGTTGAGAATGAGAAAAATAAAGAAAAATTGTTTAAAAATAAAATTCTCTTTTCTGACGAATCGATTATTATCAAACAGTTCGTCGCAGACGTGGTGAACGATTCGCAGAAAAGTGCACACTTCCTACTGTGAAACATTCCCCCTATATAATAGTAAGGGGATGCATTTCCATGTATAAATCGAAAGCAATTTTAATAGTAATGCGCCCAGTAAACATTGAAAACTATAAAAATATTTTAACGGAAGTGGCACCCAGCTTGATATACCTAACTGAAAAAAAACCAAACCCTATTCTTTAGCATAATTCTGCACCTTGCCATCGCGTTGGCTCGGTAAGTTACACAATGCAGAGTTTTCACTTCCGTCATTTTTTTAAGTTAATTCATTAATTTTGACATTTTAGATTGAAAAATTAAAGTAAGTTTTGGGTATTTCTTCATTGGTTTGGCCAGGAAACAGTCCGTTAGAGGACGTATGGCCCCTAATAACTGCTAAAATGCACAAAAAGAAACCCACTACAATGTTTGAATTGAGGCAAACAATAGAGGAGGTGTGTTTCAAAGTAGTAACCACCGAATATTTAAGCACTCTATACGAATCCAACCCAAAAAGTGTTAAAAGTGTCCTAAACGCTAAAGGTGGCACCACAAATTAATAAAGAGCTATAAAACGAGTTTTTTGTTATAAAATTTAATTAAAACGTGCATACCAAAAATTATAATATAAAAATACTTTTTAATTAAAATATTAATGTTCGCACTATAAGTTTGAAAAAAGTGCACTATTTTGAAAAAGAACTAAATATTTTGATTGCGGCTTATTTTTGTTTTGCTATTTGTACTTTAATACTCTACAAGTATAACAGCATATTTAGTGTATAAATTATTGTACACATAAAATGTGCTACCAAAAATTTATTTAATTTTTATGTAGTGTAGCATACATACATATGTAATAAATTACATTGGTGTGAAGTAAATGTTAATACGTTGCCCGCTTTGTCTTTATAGAGGCCGCATTGAATCTCTTCATCAATTCCAATGCACAGGAGTTGCTGAAGGAAATGAAACCGGCGCTACGCACGAAACTGACGCTGGTCATACGCAACTTCATGGATCGGATATTCGCAAAAATACCGCTCGACCAATGGATCAATTTGCAGTGAGGCTAACGCAAATTCACGCAAACTAATGAAAAATCTAACACTTACCAGTTAATTAGCTTAGCTGTAATTTAATATAATCTTATATTAGTAATTAGTCACACTTATTTATTTCAATAAATTGTTTAAGATATTTAAAGGTAATCGTTTTGAACTCAAATTGTCACTATGCGATAAAATAATATAATCGAAAGAAATGTTCAGCGTCCGCACGTTTATAAGAAAATTACAGTTCCACAAATAAATGTAATTTACTACTTAGAAATTAAGTACGAGTTTTTTATTCATACATACTAGAGCTTAGTTAATTATTTAGAAAAACAGCAAACATGTTAAAAACCATTCAGTTGCACGAGAATCGAACTTTTCAAGAAATCATGAAATGTGGTAAAGCTTAGTGAAATTAAACCGATTTCACAATTTCTTTGCGGCAAGGTAGCGAATCATACGCACATACAAGTACATACTACATACAACTGATATATCTACATATACATATATATATTCAAACTATTAGTTATTACTGAGAAGTGTATAATATATATATAATATATACCACAAATTTGAGAGGTAAAAAGTGAAAAAAGTGAAAAACAGCAATATCTGGCTAGTTTTGTGCATGAAGCGATATTTTCAAACAGATTACAGGACTTGTGTCATTTAATGTGTGATTTGAACCGAAATTACCATAATTTCATATCAACTGTCAACGCATAATCTTTAAAATTCGAGTAAACAATCAACTTTGCACACTTTGTGCGCATTGTATTGACAGGAAGGCGTAGCGAAAAACGAACGTCGACTGTTGCGCGATCACTCAAGCACGCACACACCGCACACATGTTATAAAAACTAATCACTGAGTCGTTGAGGTCTGGACGTTTAATTTCATTTTTAATAATGCGATTTGTATTAAGATTTGTTTTTTATGACTCGCAGACTTAAACGCATGTTGTTATATAGGAGATGAGTGGTGTGAAGCGCTCATTATGCCAATGAGTTTTTTTTTTTTATTTTTAAGTACATTTCTTAAACATCGCTTCTTTAGGGAAATTTTATTCTTTATATTTTTATTTTTCTAAGTTGCCACGAAGTTTGTAACACAAGTGTATACATAAATATATAAATGATCAGCGTGACGAGGCTTAAAAAACCAAATTATCTGTTTTTTGTATAACGTACGTCCCCACATACGTATAAATGGTGACACCATAAAAGACTCATATATCGGACCGTGGAACAGTCCCCACATATAAAGTATATATTATACGAACTAATCTCTCAGCTTTTGAGTTATCGAACTGAAATTTTGTACACGTCCTTTTCTCATCAAAAAGCTCCTTATTTGTCGATATCGCACCACTATAGCATATAGCTGACATACAAACTGACCGTTCGGAATAAATTGCTTGTATGGAAAGCTTATTGACTAAGGCAACGGTACAATCTTCGAAGAATCGGTTTAGTTCGGACCACTATAGCACATAGCTGCCATAGAAAGGGGTCGCTCAAAGTTCTTGTCAGGAATCTTTTGTATTTGTGTAGGGTATTATAGCGTTTCGTTTTTTCTTGTTTCACAAGTACATTATCATATTTGAACAGGGATATAACCTTTCTTATTTCTGTTCAAACGGTTACTTCAAAAAAATTATGCAATAAAAGTAAATTGAAACAATCAAATTTATTGACAATAACAATAACAAACTTGTTAATTTTAAGATCACTGCTTATATATTATACAATATATATATATATACTTACTTGTAGTTATGTATGCTCAGTAAATGACAACCAGCGCTTTTCGTTAATAAACAACATCAATTTTCCGTACTCTGCTATATATATTATATTTGAACTTGTGTTTTCTTGTATAATACATTTTGCAATATCAGCCATAAAAAAAAACTTATTTCGTACTTAATTATTCGGAGAAGCTCTGAAATTATAGTATTTAATATGTGTGTTGACAAGCAAATAATAGCAGTCATCGTGTGCGGCAATAAGTGCCCTTTCATCAATTTGGGCATAGAACATGCAATTGCATAATTGCATGAAAACTTGAAATCGGGAAATATATATGAATAAGTTTCATTCAGAAGTTGCGATAAAAAGAATAAACTATTGGATTGCGTTATATGAAGTTTTTGAGCATTACTGTTAATATGCCATAACTTATATGACAGTTCACATAAATACAAAAGGTGGCTTTAAAACCAGCCAAACATTCAGTAAGGCAAATACACATAAGTGTATTAGTTTAGCAAATTCAGTTTTTGAGTATATCTGCAGATCCTGGAGTATTGAATAGACTTTTAGACATATTTCGGATTCAAACTGCATTAAAGCTATAATACCCTTCACAGTTACATTTCGTATAGCATAAAATCAAGTATATAAAAAATCTCTATCTTGATTTTTATCGGTCAGTTTGTGTAACAGTCAAATGAGCAGCTGCTTGGAGAGAAAGGGACGAGTGCCAAATTTTAGATCGATAACTCTAAAACTAAGGGGCTAGTTCGCGTATATACAAAAAGACAGACGGGCATAACTAAAACGACTCAACTCGTCACGTTAATCACTTATATATGTGCTTTACAGGCGTTACTCCGACGTTTCCTGCTGGGTATTACAAACTTGTTGTTCAGTGTATAATCAATTGCAAGCAAATAAATGTTACTCATACGCCCTAAAAGCCCAGACAATTTGGGCAAAACAGCAAACAATAAATGTCGAACATAAATACTCAAGTACTGTATCAAAAGTTCTACACCTGTCGATTATATAACACATGTCAACAGCAAGCGTTAACAAATAGTAAAAAAATAAAAATTAACTATGCTGAAAGGGCACAACTGCAACATACCACTTTGACAAAACATGAATGAATTAATTTAGAATTTGATTATAGACACTAAATATTAAACACGAATAGAAGTTTCGAATTTAGCAGCCATAGCTTATGAAGCATGTGCATGTGCATGTGCATACTGAATGCTGTGGGTGGGGTCTGCTCGACTCACAAAGCTTCCGTTCAAAATAAACTAAAACGACGAAAGGTAACAAACTCAAATCAATTTGTCAACTGTGCTGACAGCTGCAAGCACATGCATACTTATGCATGTATGTGTGTGATGAGCGCAGTGGAGCGTCGAATGCGATGGCACTAACATGTATGCATGCAGTTATATAACAGTGGAGGCTGCAAAAATGTTGTAGTTATTACACTACATACTTGTTAAATGCTTACTAAAGTTCAGTTAGGCACCACATACATATGTATGTATATATTATGTGTAAAAAAATGTTATATATGTATGTATGTATGTATATTACTTGAATGTCAGCTGCTTTAATTTTGGCTACCGTTGCGGCTGTTATTGTCCACATTTGCACTGCCTCCTCCATTGTCTGTCATCACCTGCAATCACTACAACTTGTTCTCCACTGCTGTTACGTATAAATCGCTATATGTACATATGTATTTATTACAACTATGCACAATTATGTGTGTATAGTGTACGTCTCCTGCCGCAGCGTAATATGCGGCTCTACATGCTAGCTGATAGTGTGGTCGACGTGCGAGCCAGCCCACTGTGACGCGCTTAGAACTTCTATAAAAATGCAAAATCACAGAGCTGTTTCGTTTCAGTTCATTGCGGCGTTCTTTCAGACGTGTTCTTCTCAAGTATAGCTCGCACTCAATGCGGGTTATATACAACACTTAGTTCTTTCTCGTTTTCGATCTTGCACAAACTAATAAATTGTGTTTCTGTCAATTAGCCAAAAGCAGTATATAGTTAAATCCAACCAAGGACACAAAATAATTTCATAAAAACTATACAAATTTAAAAAGTGAGTGCTGAAAAAAGAGAGTGAAAGTGCCTGGCAAAGTGATGAATGAGTTTATAAAATTAAAGATATATTATATTAGGATAACCGATATAAATTTCAGTAGATAACTGGTACGCGTTGGATAGCGAGTGTAGTTAGCATGAACATTTAAAATTGTGGACAATTTTTGCAACTCATAAAACGGGGGTGTGATTCTTGATTTAAGCTCATAAAGGATTTTACATAAAAATAATATTTTGAAATATTTTGAAATCTATTTGTTTGTTGAAGATGAATTTTTGAGATTTTGAGATTAGGTTAAATAATCCAAGAGAAAACTCACAACTAATGGCGCATGCTGTTGTAATGTAAAATACTTGAAAAAACTAATTTAGAGGGAAAAATGTCGAGCGAAAACTGCCCTATTTCAATAATTTTTTTTTCATATAAAAAATGAAATATATCATTCACACTTTTTATTATTCTGAAGATACATATTTGATAAAGATTTTATGAATTTTTCAAAGGAAAATATTCAAAACTCGGTCATTATGACGTCATTTTCGGCGTCCCTCGGTAAATAGCTGCTTACGCGTTGACAGCAGAATTTTTGACAGGATCATCAAAAGTAAAAGGAAAAAATACGTGTTTGAACTAAGACCATTAACTGGCTATTGAACGGAGAAAAAACAAACAAAGTGAAAATTGTATTTTTGGCAGATGTTTAAAAAAACGCAAAAACTTCTCGACGTTTTTTGTTTTTTTAAATAATTGTAATTCAACACACAAACAAAGTTCTTCGTGCAAGACTTTGTAAATTATATCTCAAAAACCTGTGTATAATCTTCGTCAAAACAAATTGGTCTATAAATTAAACACTGTGCGATCAAATATTAACATTTGCAGTTGCGATAATTTCTCTTTAACTCCTTATTTTCGAGTAAACCGGGTTCGTTTCCCGTTTTTGAGTACTTTCGCCTAGATAAAAAGCTAGAATTCAGTTACATGGACAAATAAAAATTAATGTTTATAGTCAAAAAATACTCTACCACTTTTTTACAAATATTTTTCGTGAATGATTCGTCTACTATGATTAATTTCCACTTTTTCTGACTAAAAATTCCATGTGATACGGAATTGAAATTAAACGGCAGCTACAATTCCAAATATTTGTGCCCCAGTAAATGTTAGAGTTTGTCTATTAAAATAAACAATCGATGACAATAATATACTGTTAGTTTCGATTACAAACATATAACCAAAAATCCGAAATTAATCGCCAGACTTGGTAAATAGGCGTCTTTGAAGCACTGCGATTGAATACGATCTAACGGTACCATGCTACAATATAAGTTGCATTCAGAACTCTTGTTGTTAAGAAAGATTATCGTTTCAAATACAGATCCTAGGATTTCACACAATAATAATTTACGATATTTACGCTAGATTAATTCAGATCTACTTATATTTCAGCTTAAACACTTCAACAATGGAACCAAAACACTCACTATTGACCATTGCGTTCATTGCAGCGCTTGTGTGCCCCACATTGGCAGCCAAAATGCGTAAGTGTTTTTTTTTTGCCTTTTTTTTGTGTTTGCGTTAAAATTTGAAAACATTTACTTTTCATTCCATAGCTGATTACATACAAATATGCCACCGTAATGATCCAAAGATAGCCGATTGTGTTAAGGACTCAGTACACTCTATACGACCACATTTGGCAGATGGTATTGCGGAGTTGAATGTGCCCGCCATGGAACCACTTTTGATTGGCGACCTAAATATATTAGAAGGTGGTGCCAACGGTATTAATGTTAAAGTGAGGAAACTTAATGTTTGGGGTTCATCGAATTTCGAAATCAAAAAAATTAGGTGATTATAATTATTTTTATTGTTTAATTGGTTTGTTGTTGTCAGTCCTATTTTTTAATTATATGCATAATTATTTTTGGTGTAATACTTTAGAGCCTCTGACGATGCTAAACGCTTTGATTTCGAACTGATTTTACCATATTTACATGGTGAAGGCAATTATAATATCAATGGTCTGCTGTTGGGTTTAACATTACGTGGTAGTGGACCTTTCACAGGAAATTTCAGTAAGTTGCAGTAACAACACATAACTAACATACATCTATATGCATATATACATAGTATATATAAATATTTAAATATCTGAGATATGCTAATTATATTCATTTTAATTTTCAGCCAATTTTTATGCTTTTGTGAAAGTTGTTTTCGATGTAAAAACTATCAACGATGTGGAAATGATTGGTCTCAAAGATTTAGTTGTGAAAATTCGCACTGGCAGCGGAAGTATACATTTACAGAATCTATTTGGAAATGATAAAGCGCTTGGCGATATTATAAATGAAACTATTAATCAAAACTTTGAACTCTTCACCAATGAAGTTATTCAACCAATCGAACGCGCTTTGGAGAAGAGATTTAGCAACGTGGCAAGTCAAATCCTAGACAGCTTCACCTATAATGAACTGTTTCCCGTTTAAATGCGCAAACTCTAGACTTTAAGCCATAGCAATGTTTGTTCACTTCACTAAAATAATCATACATACATACAACTTAATTTTTATATCTAGTGTATTTAATAGATTTGTATTTGAAGTGAACACGCGAACTTCCAAAATGTTTTGTTTTGCTTGTTTATCGTAAAAAAAGTATATGTACATATGTAACCGAAATTATTAGTGAATATCTACATAAGTAATAGCAAAAATTAATATTATGTGATATGTAATAATCTGTTAATATAATGTTATGTTATAATACGAAATAAAAGTAATCATATGCATGGACTGTCTTCTCTAAATATAGATGGGAAACATATTCAAAGTTAAGGGTTATAAAAGGTTCATCTTAATTTCCGGCAAAACTACGAGTGCTATGAAAAAAAGTAAAATTGCAAAGTCGGATGTAATAAAAGGGTAATTAAAGAAAATATAATATTTTGTACTAACATCTTTTTCACATAAACTCAAAATTTATGTGAAAAATTAATACAAACAATTCTTTAGTTTTTTTAATTTCATCTTTTAAATATTTTTTATTTAAAAAAATGTGGTATACACTTACCTTTTTATGTCTCAAACACACTGTATTATTAATTATACAAAATTTTTTTCACCTTATTTTGACTTATTATCTTAGAAGCACCCGAATTTTCAAACGAACATTCTCACCTCAAACCAGAGAACGTATTTTACGTTCTCTGCACACCGTCAGAGAATTTACGTTCTCTGACACCGTGAACCTTCTCTATAATTTATATTCTTTAATATACGTTCTATGGTTGAGTGTTAACAATCATTTACCGTTATAGACATACCATTAGTTTAATTAATAATATTAGAAATATGTATTATTTCAGCAATACATATTTTATAACATTGATTAACAAATTATTTACAATGAATTTAGAAGTTGAAACCTGTTGATATGTTGGCGTGTTGGCAACTCTACTATCTTATCATACACGTATTCTGTTTTGATTTGCCGTTTCTTATTTTGACATAAGTATGTTCATTCGTTATTTTACCAGAGAACGTACATAATATACGTTCTCTGATTTTACTTTTGACACAATGTATTTGTTATTTTTCCACAAGTGAGTTTTTAATGTGAAGTGATACGGAAGTAAAGTAAAGTTGTTTGGGGTTTTTATTTACCGTCATATAGTGCTTGTTGTACAGTTAAAGTTTTAAAAAGTAAACATAGTGTCGTGTGTGTAAACAATTTTTCCGAAAATTATATAAAAATGAATAATACTATGGGTTCCTTTGGGCAATGGCAGTTCAAGCGACAGCTGGGCAGAGGTGGATTTGGAAACGTTCATTATTGGCGGAATGGGGAAACCGGTGAAGAAATTGGTATGTGCCTAGCATCGGTTAATTGGACCGAATTAGAGCTATAAATTCAAAACCAAATTTAAACATACATACATGTGTATGTGTATGTATATGTTTATTATTAGAAATTAAAATTGTTTAAACAAATAGAACTGAAGTTTCGTTTTACTTCAATCTGTAATATATAATAATTATTTACAAAAGTATATTATGAAGCGAAAAGGGAAAAAAAGAGCGCGAGCATTAGTCAGCCTATCAATTCTGAGAATTCCGATTTGTTGGAAGTTAACGGGGGGAGGGGATGCCGGCTTGTGGTTGGTTGCCCGTGTGTTGAACGTGTGACGCCAGCGTATCAACACAAATTGGTTTGTAAAGTATTTATAAAATTTAAAAGATACATATGTACATACATATCGTTTGCTTACTGCAAAACTGTCATAACTCGATAGGTGAGTTTTGAATTAATTATGCCGGAATGCACATTAACTATAGCTTGATATTGTATCAAAGTTTAATGCTTCTAGTTTCTGAGTGAGAAATGTATGTATGTATGTATATGCCTTTATTTTTCCGCAGAAAGTGGGCGAATATTGTAAACTTAAAAAGCCTTTTTGCCGTAGTGGCAAATTTTGAGTTATGACAGTCTTGCAGTGAGCAAACTGATGACAGAATTCGATTTGATATATATTTATAATTTCAAATAATTTATAGCACTATAAGAAGTTCTTATATAAACATGATATTATAAACTCATTACAAAGCGGCACATTTTTGTGTTTTATGCATTTATCAAATGCTTATGGATATATAAATGTTCGTATCAGTGTTCATGCGTTTCTACGTACATACATATGTATGTACATATACAAGTAGAAAGTTATGCTTTGGCACTTCACCAAAAAGACTAAAATAGTTCTTATACTTACCCGGCAGAGTCTACATTTTCTAGAAAGAAACATTTCCAATTGTTTAGCTAATATCGGCGCCGTTTATTTTTTGTTAAGCAGCCGCGCTATAGATTATGTACATTTATAAGAAGTAAGGAAGCCTATGTTCGGGTGTAACCGAACATGTTATACTCGCACTTTCCAAGTATAAAAACCGGGTAATACTTACAGGTGTTGGCAAAACTTTATATTATATTAAACAAGAAAAATACGTTGACTTCGGGCCTTTACAAGTATATTGATTTTAAGCGATACATACACAGCAATATGCCACAATGATCTGATCTGAACAAGTTGCTCGGAGATTGTTGCGCTGCTGAGATAATATTCTATATAGTATTTACATATATCAAATTTACTGAAGTTATGTTGTCAAATAAAAAAGTTTTCCACAGAAGAACATGTTGTTGTTGTTGTAGCGACAAGGAAGAATATGATTTTGATCGGTCAGTTTGTACAACAGCTACATACTTATACCATATGTTATTGTGAACCGATCTGAACAACTTGTACGGGATGCAAATGCTCCACTTTACTAAAAGTCTCTGTACCAAATTCGTATAGTTTGGTTTAATGGCATTTTGTGGGCTTGGCAGTGGTCCGATTTTACCCAACTGCAATTCTTACTTCCTTATGGTGCCAAAATAGATGTGTACCACCAAGATATCTCAATTAATACTCAAGTTATCGCTTTCACGTAAGGACAGATCAATAGTCACCCGGACTTGAACACGACTTGTCATTATGATGACTCCACTTGTACATCTATCTCGATCAGTTTTAGTTGTTACAGAAAAACCATAAGGTGAACAAAACTATTATACTCTGTCGCAAAATGTTGCGAGTGTATTAAAATATATGCATAGCATTTGAATGCATATAAATGGGCATGCGTCTGCATACATTCTTGATACGTGCTTGTTTTCAAAATATGTTTGTGGTTAGCGAATTTATTTGCCGTGTAACGGCTCGAAATGGAAATGTTGATAAGAAAAGGCAAATATAAATTTCCAGGAATAATATTAAGGCGATTGTAAGTAAATGGTTTCGTGATAAAGTGCTTAATACTTCTTGGTTCAATAAAAAAAAACGTTAACTTCGAAGCTACTTGTATAATACCTTTCACAGAACTTGATTCCGATCGTTAAATTTGTATGGCAGCTATATGCTATAGTGGTCCGATATCGGCCGTTCCGAGAAATGAGCAGCTTTTTAGTGAGAAAAGGGCAGGTGCAAAATTTCAGAACGATAGCTTAAAAACTGAAGGACTAGTTTGTATAAGTATATACAGACAGACGAACGGACATAGCTAAAGCAACTCAGCTCATCATGCTGAACATTTATTTTTATATTATATAGGGTCTCCGACGTTTCCTGCTGTGTGTTACAAACTTCGTGGCAAACTTAGCATACCCTGTTCAGGGTATAATAAGTATATACTTATCGTGGTAAGCAAAACTAGCTATTCTGTTTTTGTGCCTTGGATGATTTGTAAGCAATTAATAAATAATATTAATGTTTACATTATGTACAAAAGAAAACCTTAAAGAAACTGCTCATGGCTTCACCAATACACACACATTTATCATGTCAGTACTGTCGGTCAATTTATGCGTCATTGACTCTCACTGTTATTTTTTAAAAGAGACCCTTATGATTTACATATATTGTTTACTATAGCTTTACATATGTAAGAATGAAATAACTGCATAGTACTGTCACCACTGACAGTCAAATGAACAGTGAAAATAAAATGACTGTTAATGTTTATGATTTTACCAAAACAAAATTTGAAGCTGAAAATTTTACCCCAAGCCACTAATAATAATTTGATTTTATAAACAAAACTGAATTTTTCAAAACTCATTACAATATTAAAGCTATGTAAATATGTACATATGTGTGGTATATTAAATATTCTTTATATTCACATGCAACAATAAACAGTTTTCACTTTCATACATATGTATGCATATATATATATTTTATATAAACACAAATACGTGGCTGCAGATCGGTTGTCGTTAGTAAACATATACAGTAGGTCATTTTGTTAAAAACAGCCACCACTTCTGGCAATTGTTCACTGTATCAAGTTTAGAATTGGTACAGAAAGATAAACCATTTAACTTCATATACACGCAAAATCAAACTTGACTCGGAGGGTTCCATTCTAATTGCGCGCGAAACCCGAATCAATAAAAAAAAATTTTTTTCTTATCCTTTTTAATCTTCATATGTAGTTTATCACGTTGGCTGCCAGTGCCATGCAAAAAATACACAATACACATGCGTTTTGAATTATAGGCGTGTATCACCGTTGATACATTGGCAACTGGGGATGGCTTTTCGTTGTGATCACCGGTGAAGCACTGGCAGCCAACGTGTTAATATGTCGATTAGTGTGTATTTGGAAGCTAATTTAATTATATTAATTATTTATTTAAAATATGGAAATTTCGCCTAAAAGTGAACGGGTCCATGCCCATTGCTTACTTTTTTCACATATTCACATGTAGCACTTTCGTCAGTTCGCAGTTTTAATCGTTACATGTGGAGTGGGCATGCTTATTAACCGATTTCACGATGTTAAAGTAGTAGAAAAAAATGTAACCATTAAGTTTTGCTTGGTATACAATCAATGTATATAAGTATGTATAGAGCTTTAGTAGAGTCGGAGATACATATGTAAGTACCTACATACATACATACATATATAAAACTTACTAGAGGGCACTTTATAGTTTTTCGCTGAATGGCATTTTGTTGGCGTGACGATTTTGTTCATTATACCTAGAGAGGGGTATATTAAGTTTGCCACGAAGTTTGTAACATCCAGAAGGAAGCGTCGGAGACCCTATAAAATATATACTTACATAAGTATGTACATATATCAATGATAATCGTGCCGTGCTGAGTCAATTTAGCCATGTCTGTTTGTATACATACTTATACAGCCACACACATTGAAAGTCGGGCAAGAATTAAGCAAAATTTCTAATTCTAATTTGTAATGAAAAAAGATATTAAACTAAATTTTTCTGTATTTTATTACAAAAAGTCCTACGGTTAGAAACCAATAAAAATATATACTTAAGTTTTCAAAGTAACGTAAAATTAACCGCATGAAACAAAAACTGCGTTAAGGCTACTTTTTCGCTTTCGCATTGAAAGTCGTACAAGACGTAAAAAATAAAAATATTTAAAATTTTGCAAACAAATAAATTATTTTTAGTATTTTGTCGCACCACCCTTTTGATTTTCTACTGCTTACAGTCTTCTTGGCATTGATTCAACCACATTTTTGCATACATTCGAACTAATTTTGTTCCACTCCTCTTGTAAGGCATTCTTCAACTGGTCCTTCGATGTGCACATCCTATTCTGCATGCTGCGTCCTAATTCGTCCCACAAATGCTCAATAACATTAATGTCGGGACTTTGTGCAAGACTCTTGATAACTTTTGGGCAGTTATATAACAACCAACTTCTTACATCAAGCGCCGTATGTGTTGGTTCGTTGTCCTGATAAAACTGAAAGTTGTCTTCAATACCAAGTTTTTGCACGCTTTCTTTCAAATTGTTTTTCAAAATCGCCATATACACATGTACATATATATATGTTTATTCATTACGCCATCTATAAAATGTAAATTTCCAACTCCTGAAGCTGCCATAAAACCCCAGACCATCACTGAGCCACCGCCGTGCTTCACTGTTTTCCTTATATTTTTGGCTTACGCCACTCTTTATCTCTTCCATCCGCCCGACTTTCAATGTGAGTGACTGTATGCGCTCAGTTTTTGAGATATCGATCTGAAAATGCACTCGTGCTTTTCTCCCCAAGAAGCTGCACATTTGCCGGATACGCCGATCAGAATCCAGCACTTGTAAGGAAAGTTTTTCATTTGACAAGATATTCTCATGAACTTTGACATAAATTATTTCCAAAATAACGTTACAACCGGCGAACAAATTGTCCAATTCGGATTACTATAGCATATAGCTTCTATACAAAATGAATGATCAAAGTCAAGTCCTTGTAAGGGAAGACTTTTTTACAAGTATCTGACTAGATATCTTTACAATCACAATTTGACATGGACTATTGCCTAAGGCGGTCGTGCAATCTCTGAAAAAATGGTTCAGATCGGAAAACTATAGCGTGTAGCTGCCATACAAACTGGCCGATCAAACTCTAGTACTTGTATGAAAACGTTTTTACCGAAGTTAACCTATTTTATTGGCTTTTTTCTTACATCCTTTTATTCGTTCTTATAGCAACGAAAATCGTAAAAGAGAATCATAACCTCAGCAAAGATGAAATCGCCAAACTACAACAACGGTGGCGACAAGAGAGCGAATGGATGAACCAACTGCAGACGCCTTACATAGTGCGTGGTCTAAACGAAATAGTTGACAAGCCATTTTTAGAATATCTAACACAGCAAAACGCCTGGCTACAGCTACAGCCCATCGTCATGGAGTATTGCAATGGTGGGGATTTGCGTGCACAGCTATTGCTAGTGGAAAACACAAACGGTTTAATAGAATACGAGGTACGCGAAGTTTTACTGGCACTACGTCATGCAATTGAATTTTTACACACGAAATGTCGTATCGAACACAGAGACTTGAAACCGGACAATATAGTCATACATCACATTGGCAATCGACGGTTGTACAAGGTATTTACTATATCTTTACACAGCTGTAATTCACTTAAACTGTACTAATAAATGCATTTATAATATATTCCCACACAGCTCACTGATTTCGGCTTTGCACGTAGTACTAGTGAGAACACGATGCTAAAAAGCATCGTCGGTACAAGAAATTACGTTGCGCCAGAGGTTCTAGATACGGCTGAATATAAAAATACCGTTGACTACTGGTCGATGGGAGTAATTGCATTCGAATTGATCTGTGGCAATCTGCCTTTCATTCCTCATCAACAGCTATTTAATATAGTAACAAATATACGAAAGAAAAAGGAAAGATGTATTGCCATCACGGAGGATTTCTATGAAAATAGATATGAATTCAATGATCATATGCCATTTGAAAATCGCATGAGTACTGTATTCTTAAAATCCATCGAAGCATGGTTAAGCACAGCATTAGATCAAAACTACAGTACGCGCGGCACACGTCTGTCACCAGTGACTATGAAACGCGTATTAACATTTTATAGTGAGCTGGACTCGATTTTATCACAGAAAGTGTTGACGGTATTTTATTTGCCAACCTTAACATTTTACGCATACATAGTCACACCGGAGATGACCTTGCGCAATTTTAGAGATATTATTAAGCGAGATATTGGCATAGAGAACTTCATTTGCATTTTTCCAACCGGTCATCCACGATCTGAGCTTTCACATACTTACAAGCCACTAGATTTTTTTGTGGAAGAATGGCAAGATACACGCGATGCCAATAATCCGCCAGTGATGCTGTATATTGCGGGTATGGAAACGGCATACACTATACCTACAGCACATATTCCTTTATATATAAAAAAATATTTTAATGCTAAAATTGAATTGCCTGAAAGCGTTTTGAAGATTATCGAGCAAAGCACACACTTTTTGCTCAGCAACGAACAACTTCAACTCGAGGCTTTTGTCTGTGGCCTAAAAGAACAAGCACTCACCATCGAACACCAAATATTCCACTATAATACTGACATTAAAGGCAACAAGTTAGAACACTACTTTCATGCGCTCACAGAAATGCATGGTCGTGTAGAACAGTTTGCCATTGGCATTGAAGCGGCGAAGAAAACGTGTAACATGCAGGTGAGTGTCAATTATTTGTAACAGCTTTAAAACTTTCAAAATCATACATATAATTTTTAGGGTGAAAGATGTGCAAATTTCTTTAACGATTGGTTTGCTAAGGCGAATAAATTCAAAGCAGTTATGGCCGATTTAGAGGGACTGAAAACCAAAGTGAACAGATATTACAAGTCCGGATTGAGGCGCGCTAAAGAAATGGCGGTCAATCCAATTTTCGATGAGCTAAAAAATAAAGATGTATACAAACTGTAAGTTCTCGGTCAGGACCAACGTTTTCAATACCTTTCTCATTCATTTAATGCTATTTTCATTTGGTTTACAGTAAAGAATTTAGACAACACCTAGGTATTATATCGAAAGAACGTTTGGAAGCCTGTAAAACTGCTGTGTACGAGTGTCTAAGCCAGAGGGAGAAAACAATTATGTGCGAACATTTAAAATTTGCATATTCCACCATAAATTCGGTGCAAAAGGAATTTGCCTTATTGCAGAGTATCGTCCACAACAGTTTAAACCAGTTAAATGAAATGCGAAACACTTTATCGCAAAGTACTGTAGAATTTCATAAAACGATGGTTGATTTGTATATAAACGGCAGTGCACACAATAATTATCTGTCACAAGATGGAGATTCGGCAACATTTGTGAATGGCACTGCTGGCTTAGCGGGCAGCATTGACGAATTTTTCCAGTTCCCAGTGCAATCATTAATCGAAGAAGCTACGGTGCGAATGATGCAGTAAGTTTTTGATTTATTTGTTTATTGTACGATTCTATATACTGTATATATATGAACTTTTGGCTTCAGTGCACTTTTAACGAATTGTAATTTTTAATAATTATATTACTATTTTTTTCAGAATGGATATAGACGATGATGTTAACAAGAATAATAATCTCCCAGCTACCATATCTGATTAGCCGACATATTTCGTCTTTTTCAAAACGCATTGCTCCGAAAATATAAAGAGTGTTATTTTGATATTATATATATTAGCTAAACTTGACTGATTGTGATAATACATTTATTTGTGACACATTTTAAAGTTTATATAATACGCTTTAAAGTATATAAATTGTGTATAAAAGCACAGCTGCCTTGCAGTAAAAGCTAAGTAACAAAGTTTACTACCGAATTTAAGAATGTAATTTAAGATAGTCACAAAATGATTAGCACATAAGCACTTTCACAAAGCCTTACTAATTTTTTGCAACTAAACTAAAACTTAAATCAAAGTGATTTTATAAATATCTCGTATTTATAAGTTATGCCATATTTGATGTCCATATGTTAGAAATTGAATAATTTTGAAAAAAAAACCAGTCATATTTTGCATTTAAGATGCCTTTAACTTACTTAGCTTTAGTGTGATATAAAATTTTACCAAAATCTGAAGCTGTTCCACCGCCTTTGTTTCTTGTCACTTGCAAGTGTACGAAATGTTGGGTTACACCCGAACTAAGCGCTTCCTCATTTGTATTTAATATTAAGCCATTTTGCATAGTGAACAATTTATATGTAACTGATCTATTTAAGATAATGTTAAAGTCAAAAGTTATTTTAAATCTGTTACAAATAGTGTATGCATATATTTAAGAAAAAACGTTAATAAAGTCTATTTGACCAAATTACTAAGATACTCATTGAAAGTTGAATATGTTTAAAAATAAAATAAAGCGTTAACTTCGGCTGCACCGAAGATTTAATACCACTACTTATATGTAACATAAAAGGGTAAAAAAATATCTTTATATAGATTTCGATGGGTCAGATTATAAGGCAGCTGACTTGGCAATCGTCTATGCAAAAAAAGATCCCATTAAACGATTCATAGCTGTTTGTTTTATCTAACTATGCAATAAGTAGCAGCTATAAAAAGAACAGGTTTGAATCGCTTAGTGAATTTTTTTTTTAGAAAACTTGCCGTGGGAATGTATATATTTTTTATATCAGTTGTAGAACTTTCGACGAACGTAAACTTTACCTACTTTTTATAAAAGCAGATATTTTGACGTGGCGAATTTTCGATTGCATCTTTTCAGATATTATATCAAAATAAGTTAAAAAAGTATATAATTTATAGCAAAGAAATTATAGTGTTTTGTGCCATAAAAGGGTTAGTTTTTTGAAATGTAAAAATAAAAAACACAAAAACTTAGTTATTTGAATTTTTTACATACATTTTGCGGTTATGTGAAAAAAGTCTAAATACAAAAGTAATAGAATTTTTTATTATCTACAACTTAGTCATTTAAACTTTTTTCCATATTAGTCGTGGTTTATTTTATCTACGGCGAACGCTATATTTACCATGTATGTACACGAGGAGGGCATACATTTTCAATGAACGTGTAAATTGTTTACGGTAACAATAATTTGTAAATAAACAATTATAAAGTGCATATTCAGCAATGTCAACGGTTGACCTGAGAAAACTTCGTCTGCCACCTTGAAAGATGCAGATCAGCGAATTTGCAATTTATAAAAAGAGTTGTTCACACACTTCATATACCACAGTTCATATTTTACTGGCTGGTGTAGGTGTACAGTTCTATACGGCAGTTCACAAGCAAAATGAAACTTTGTAATCTTTTAATATTGTTAACCACTTATAGTGGCGTTGTATTGGCAGGACCTAACGTGAAAAAGGAACGCATACAATTACGTAAGTTGAAGGCATTGCATAATATTTTTATTATATTGTATTTTATTTATATATACCTTATGTAGCGGCTTTTGTGAAAATATGTCGACGCAGTGATCCAAATTTAGACATGTGTGCACGTAATTCCTTGCTCGCTATGCGGGAGCTGCTAAATTATGGCATTCCGGAGTTATTTATACCGCCTATCACGCCATTGGTTGTGCCTGAAATTAGAATGGATCAAGATTCGGGCGCCATTTATCTGCATTCCACTTTCAAAAATATTACCGTTAACGGTTTGGCCAACTTCACGCTCAACGAGCTACATATAAATCCACAGAAAATGCGCTTGACACTGATGCTGAGTGTGCCGAATGTAACAATGAATGCAAAGTATAAAATGAAGGGCAAAATTATGATGATGCCACTGTTGGGGGAGGGTGATTTCAAGGCGAATTTCTGTGAGTTACTTCTACATCTACATAGCGCAAACGTTTTTTAATTATTTGCTGTAAATAATGCTTTTTCATTTCTTCATTAGCCAATGTAGAGTTGAATACGGTGATTAGCGCCGAGCGTTACACTAAAAATAAGCGTCTTTATGCTAAGGTAAAGGATGTCAAAGTGAAGTATAAACTTGGTAAAGCAGAATTGTATTTGAGCAATCTTTTCAATGGCGATCAAGCGCTGGGTGAGCGTATGAATACATTTTTGAATGAAAATTGGGATTCGCTCTTGAATGAGCTGCGTCCTTTAATGGAGACTTCAATATCGGATATAGTGCGCGCTTCGACGGAAAAGCTATTCGATACTTATAGCTTTGATGAGTTACTGCCCGAGTAAATGTGATAATGATATGAAAATGTGACGTGTTTGAATGTTTTTGAAAATAACAATTGCTATTTATTTATAAGTTTTTAGATAAAAGAAATAGCTTTAAGTGCTAAATTAAGACAAAGTTTCAATATAAGCGTAACTTTGTAGATATACTCAAGAAACTTAGTGTGAAATTGTTTGAAAAAGCTATAAACAAAATAGTTTATACAAATACTAATTTTGCGCTGTGTGTTTAGATTTTTTTTATACTTGCAATGAAAAATATAGAATATTGTGCACATATTGAAACACCCTATTTAATAAACTATTAATTTTAAGAGCACTTTTGATACTTTTATTTTCTTTAAAAATTTTTAAATTTTTAGCTCTAAACAATAAAAATGATAAAACTAATATGCGTATATACAGAATACAAATGTCTCATTAATTTACAAATAAATACAACAATAACAAAAATAATAATAATAGCAATTGAAAAAACATAATCACAGCAACCATAATTTTAGTGGAATCTTCGAGAACACATTATTCCATAAACCATGGAAAATATCGGCCAAACCCAACTCTAAATCAGGGCGCAGTTCAGCAATAACCTCTTTTGCATTTTGGTTGAGGAAATTGTTAATGGAAGCGGCTAATATCTCATTGCCGTTAAACAGGTCACTTAGATGTATACGCATCGCGCCCACATGAAACGTAACCTTCATCTCATCAATTCGAATGACTTCCTAACGGTTGTGTAACATTTACTTCGTATATTAAATTTACATGTTGTACATAGAAATGCATTAATTACCTGCGGTTCATTGCTTAAATGTATTTTAGTGTAAACAGCGGTTTTAACATCTTTCAAAGCCATACGCACATCGCCGCTACCAACCAGCGGTAAAAGTAATATATTACCCTTCAAGTTGTATTTGGCGCGTATGCGCAGTAACGGTATGTCGAGCTCAAAATTTAATAGTTTCTTGTCAAGGTCCAGACTAGACGTTTAACAAAACCAAAAACAAGTTACGTATCGTCATATAACATATGTACGTATATACCTATAACGTAAGTTGTACTCACTTCGCGCGCCGTACGGTTGCATTTGAGGGCCCACGAACGATAAGATTTTGAAAGCCACCCGAAAGAACTAAGTTGCCGCTACCCTTTGATACCGATACCTGGTCTATGTGCAGTGGTTCAAAACTCTTTATACCGATTTCCGGTATGCCAGCCGCAAAAGCGGGAAAACAACCCTCAAATAGTCGTCGAAAGCATTTGTCTTCGTTGGGATTTGCGCGTTTACAGGTGTGTAGCCAATTTGCTGTTTTTGTGTAGAGAAAGAAAATATTTAATTTTTTAACGGTGTGAAATGCTGCATAACACCGCCCACAGTTTAGGTCTCATACACTTATTGAGTTTAACACTTCATCGTAAAGTACTTTTTTGCAATAATAACAAGTGTTTGTTGAAATTAGTGAAAGATACAAATGGAAAGACGCATTATTCGTCAAAACAATGCCTGCTCTCATATATAAAAATGCTCTCACATATAAAATGTTTTTTAACCGACCAAAAGTTCAAATTGGGAGAACATCTGGCGTTAAGTTCTACGTTGTTCCGACGTCAACTTAAAACGTCGATACGCGACGTAATATTAAAAACAAATCAAGAAAACTGCAACTGCAGAAAAGTTGATTAATGCATTCCAATTACTCTTTCGTAGTTAACTCAATTGTGTTGGACAACAAACTTCAATTTATTTCAAATTTTCTGTTTGTTTTCTTCGCGGTTACTTTGTGTAGACAGTTGTGTCCGTTTTTGTAGAATTTTCAAAATTTCAGTCCACGCACTTATGCTTATTATACCCTGAACAGGGTATATTAATTTTGCCACGAAGTTTGTAACACCCAGAAGGAAACGTCGGAGACCATATAAAGTATATATATAAATGATCACCGTGGCAGCTTGAGTTGATTTAAGCCAGTCCGGTCGTGTCTGTCCGTCCGTCTGTATATACGCGAACTAGTCCCTCAGTTTTTGAGATATCGATCTGAAATTTTGCACCTGTCCTTTTCTCACAAAGAAGCTGCTCATTTCTCGGAACCGCCGATATCGGATCACTATAGCATATAGCTGCCATGTAAACTGAACAATCGGAATCAAGTGTTTGTATGGAAAACTCCTTCATTTGACGAGGTATCTTCATGAAATTTTGCACGTATTATTCTTTAAGCCATTTATCCAATCTCCGAAGAAATTGTATAGATCGGATCACTATAGCATATAGTTGCCATACAAACTGAACAATCGGAATGAAGTGTTTGTATGGAAAACTCTTTCATTTGACGAGATATCTTCACGAAATTTGGCACGTATTATTCTTTAAGCCATTTATCCAATCTCCGAAGAAATTGTATAGATCGGATCACTATAGCGTATAGTTGCCATACAAACTGAACAATCGGAATCAAGTGCTTGTATGGAAAATTTTTTTATTTGACGAGGTATCTTCACGAAATTAGACACGAGTTCTTGCTTAAGGCAACAAATTATTCTCCTCAGAAACTGGTCAGATCAGATCACTATATCATATAGCTGCCATACAAATTGAACATTCGGAATCAAGTTCATGTAAGGGGCCTTTGTATTTGTGAAGGGTATTATAGCTTCGGTGCAACCGAAGCTAACGTTTTTTCTTGTTTTTGCATTAAACTTGTCACAACAGTTTTGTAGCCAAAGTTATTAAACTGTATTGGTGTATTTCACTAAATTTAACGCAACTCACAATAAATTTGTATGTTTATACAATAATAATATTCTTACGTCGTTCTTGCAACTGCGGCGCATTATTTATAATTTCGCGTGTGTAAGTGGCAGCTGTCTGCGCTAGACAGAAAGCGCTGAAGATGCTTAAACTGTATTGAATTTTCCAATTAACGCTTTGCTGTGGCATTTTATCTTAACGGTTTTGTATACTACACTGCCAGCACTTTAACTTAAACTTTTTTAATATTCTTGTGCAACGTTATTTTTAACAGAATATGTACTTTTCGCCTTCACTGCCAAGGTATGCGCCTTAAAGAGTAGTTATACGATTGCGTTTGTCTATTCGAACCCGCCCATAACCGTTAAGTCCGACGTTTCGCACTGAAATGAGGCGCTGCTATGTTGGACACTTCAGTACAAGTCTTCGCCGCGGCAAACAAAAATTACTTGTCCAAAATGTGGATAAATATTCGTTTTTTTTATTTTTAACTTTCCACTTGCCTAGTGTGGCTGTAGCCAAATAGCAGTTAATGATATCACGGCTGCAAGTGATCCATGCAATTTCTGCCATTTACTCATTTCCACTCCATACTGATGGCATCGTATGTAACAAAAAACAAGTCTTAAAGTATCCGGTATTACGTACACATAAGTATATGTATGTACATAACATTTGTCTGGCTGTTTAACCACTTTCGGTCTTTACAAAAGTTGCAGTTATTCGGGCTTTAGTTAAAGCACAAGCATTTCCTTGGCTTGCCTCTCTACATACATATTATATCGGGGATATTTCTGGTTTAACAAATTGTTGGAAAATTTACAATTGTATAATGACTGTATCTGGAATGCCACACTGCCCCAAAACTGCTTTACAATATACATATGTATGTATATACTCTTAGGCATGCGTTAGCTTTATAAGAAACGCCTACATTCTGTGTGCCTCAAGTTGCGCTTGAGTGTAGAATATATTTCGTTATAATATCTGATTATTGTTCTCTCCCCCACAATTTACCATTTTTCATTAAATTAATATTTACTATATTTCATTTTAGTATATATAATAATAATAATAATAATTAATTACATACTTCCGTCAACAGTGCTCTGCGAGCTCAGCAGCTTCTTTCCACTTTGGAAATCCGTGAAATCAAAGCTTAAATACAGGTTGGTTAAAAAGTTTCTGCGTTTGAAATAAAAAAATACTGTTTTTGCTACGAAATATATATTTTTTATTCAATATTATATCCCTAACTTCAATACACTTATTCTAATGATGCTCCAATAATTTCATGTTATCCCTATAATGACTTTCCGAAAGCTCTGCAAAATATCCGTCTACGGCTGTAATAGCTCCTTCATTCGACGGAAAGCGCTTTCCACGAATAAATTGTTTCAGGTTTCTGAAGATATAGTCAGATTGATTATTTTACTTTTCTGCAGATAATCAATCAACAAAATTTATTTGGCATACCAAAAAACTGATGCCATAACCTTCTTTGCTGATCGTTGTGACTTTACCTGCTTTGTAGCTGAACAACCAGCTTCAGTCCGCTGTAAAAGTTCTTATTTCAATTTAGGATCATGGTGGTAGATCCAAGTCTCATCCATAGTTACAAAACGACGCAAGAAATCGATTTTATTCTGCTTAAAACGCTCCAAATTAAGTTAAGAAATTTATTTTCGATCCAGTTTTTGTTGAATTGCTAACGTGTGCGGCACTAACTTTCCAAACAGCTTTTTCTTATGTAGTTCTCCGGTGCGTTTTGGAGTTGAGGACTCCTTATACACTTCTGACAATTGTTCCTAAATTTCTTTTGCTTTTAAATTTTCAAAACAAAGAATTTAATCACTGCGCGATATTAAATTTTTCCCATATTAAAAAAAAATCTCTGACACGTCAACTTTAAATGGCTTGTAAACAAAGAATTAATTGACAGAATTAAAAGTCAGAATGTCCGTATCATCAGCTAACGTGGCATCGTTGCTCTTTTTTATTTTTTTAAATGTTGCTGGAAACCTGGAGACCGTATAGGTCAACGGTTAGCACTATGATTTTTTATGTCCGGAAAACATTCATATTTTCAATGAAATATTGTGCTGATGTGAAATTATGCTAAGTCGAATGATACAAAAATTTATATAGAAAAAATTATTTATACCAATTTTTTAAACTTTAAAGGCAAACAACTCAATGCAACTGCCTTTAAATAATATATATGTATTTATATACATAACATTAATACACATATGTATGTATGTGTGGGTTGTGATTATATTATTGTCTATTTTTGTATCCAGTTGTTTCTTCAGTTGCAATGTTGTAACCGATTCAACATGCGACTGTTATTTATTTTGTTATTTAGTGTTGCATTACAGAGAGCAAGCACACAAGGCAAAATTTTACATATTTTGGAGAAACCCGTTACTCAGCCTTTTGCATGAACGATTTTACATTTAAATTAACTCATTAATAGTTAGTAATAACTATATGCTGGTTAGCGCTGGCAAAGTATTAGATGTCTCTATTAATATTTAAATTCATTAAAAGTAAACAAAACAAAAACAATAACAATTAATGATGAGACAAACATTTATTGCACGTAAATCGTAAAACCACAATTAAACTTGATCGCTGCTGGTATTAACTAACCAACGCAACAAAACGGCGGTTACATGTAAATACATATACAGACATACTTGTATATATACTACATATATGCAATTAAATGACTTATCGCTAATGCCAGTGCTAACGTTCATACATTATACATATATATATGAATATATATATATATATAGCATGTAGTATGAATAATTAAACCGGCAGGTTTTCCGCTACCTATGCTGTTTTTGTTGTTGCTGTTGCAGTGAGCAATATATTATGCAATTTTCTTCTTGTTTTTGTTGCCAAAACTGTTGCAGCTGCTGTTCAGCAAGCGTTTTTTCGACCGGTTTTATTTATGTTCGACTTGCCATTTCTTTTTCTTTTTTCTTTATCTATGTTATGTTATGATTTTTTTTTTCGAATTCCAAGTCACGTTTGACACCTCTTTTTGCAGTCTATTACCGATATACAGCTGTATTGCTCATTTTTGAGCAGCATACACTTGTTCAGGTTGACATTCCAAAAATGTTGTCTTTTTTGCATGTAATTTTTTTAATATTATTTTTAAGAGTTGTATTTATTTGCTAATTGCGAAATCACCTTGACGTTTGCAAGGTATCAACTGTGTATTGGCGGAATGTCGCGCGACAACGGAAAATTGCTTATAAATCGTTTAAAAACTTGACGCTTGTAAGATTTTCTAGGTTGCATGCAACAACAACGAAACGGGCAAAAATTGAAACCGGCAATAATGACAGCAACAGTTTGACAGTGATTTGCGGGAGTGTAGCAACTCATGTTGCGGAAGTGGAAATTTTTCCACGGAAATCGTTTAATCGCAGTGTAGATGTGGAAAAATATTTAAATAATAAATAAAAAATATTTGCATAATATACACATATAAATACATATGCATGTATGTATTTTTGTGTGCATATGTGGCATGTTTATAAACAAATATAACAAATGCAAGTACTTTTAAAAAAGAAAGTGTTTAGTAGTCGCTACGTAATGATGGGTTTTTATATAGTTTTCCACTGGTTGTGGTCCACGTCAGCTGCTAGAAGTTCTTGTAATTAATTAAGCGAGTTTTCGGAAGTACATAAAGCCCCAAAATATTACGCGCGCTTGCTCGCAGATGAGGAACAATTCATTAGTAGTTGCTTGTTCTGAACTGTCAAATTATACGAGCATATCGTATATGTAGCTTGTCAGCTATTTTCCACATAATTTTTTTGCAATAAAATGAGATGGCCAGTTTAAAAATAAATGCTTACTAAAAAAAAATTTTTTGCGTTCTCGTATCGTTTTTTTAAATTTTTAATGTGTCCAATGCTCGGGTTTTCTTTTTTGATAACGTTATGAAATGAATGTGTGCTTTGAAATGCTAACCAACTTATCTAGCAAAGTGTAGAAGGTTGATAGATGACGTTTTTGATAGATATATATTCAGCATATTATGTAATACCAATTATATGTAAGCTTACAGTGTATTTGAAAAAAATAGCTTGCAGCCGAACTGCTATTTAAAATTCAACTAACGGCAGTTGATAACTGTCTTGAATATGTAATGACATGTGTGTCGCTTGATTAATTAAATCTCCTTTCACATACAATGTGTTCAATAGCATTGACCCTTTAATCTAAATTTGTAAAAATACGCATTTGCTTTAATTCGTTAAATATTAACCCATACAGCGCTGTCCATATTTTTTGATATGTGTACACAGCATTGCAATTTCTGTGTATAGGTTCCTAGCCTTAAAGCCAGTAGCGATTGTAAGTTTTGAAGAGATTTCCTCAATAATGTTTTTGCATTGCTTTTAAGGGGTATTCTAGTCTAGATACATAAATTTTAGGTAATTTTTTAAGTGTCGTAAAAAAATAGGCAATCAATATTTTTACTATAGATTTTTTTATCAGTTATTTATTAATGTTACAAGGGTACAGAAAAAACTTAAAAAAAAAAAAAACAAAGTTAAAAATTTAAAAAACTGGCAGCTGAAGTAGTGGGGGTCTCAATAAATAGTCATATGAAATGAAAAAAAAGATGATGAATCTGCAATGATGTCGCAATTGTATGTACTAGCGATAAGTAAAATTTTTTTTTGACAAAATGGCGACTTTTTGCAAAAAAAAACCATTTTTTACCTTTTTTTTTCGTATTTTTTAAAAATAGTAAAAATTTAAATTTGGGAATAAGGCTAGTCTGAGAAAAACCCATTTTAAGTTTCGCGTAAAGTCTTTTGTTGGATTAGACCCAACCGGCTCAGTAAAATGTCTATATCTCCGGAAATAATTCAAATTTGCAAAAATCCTCTTATAAACATATTCTTAAACAGTTAAACTTTGAAAATATATAAAAAAAAGTTTGAAATTCTAGACTAGAATACCCCCTTAATATATTAAACATATAATATTTTAGGAATGATACTTGTCTGTACATACATAAATGTCTTAGCTAACAACAGTAGACGAAATTTATAGAAAAGCTATTCTAATATTTTTTAACATATTTGGTTATTATCATGATAACTATGATTTTTCTGAAAATTTAGACAACTACTTAAAGACTCATTTAAATATGGGCTTCCGCTTATAAACCATGAAAGGGTTAATCGCAGTACTTACAATAGCTTACAGCGCCATCTATTTGTGATATTTGCACTTAAAGCATTGGTTCGTGCAGAGAATGTAAATGAATATTCACAAAATACGCATGCATGAATATTCATTAACATTCTCTGTTTATAATAAATCTAAAAAATTTATTAACATTCTCTGGTTATTGCGTGTTTTCTTTTTTTGTATTAATACAATGTATGTAAACAATAAACTCTTCAAAATATCTCTTAAAATCATTAATTACTAAATGAGCCTTAATTATTACCTTAAGCGGTTACTTGGGTTTTACGGCTTCAAAAAACATTAAAAATATAATTATTGTCTTATTTAAGTTTAAAACATCTCTGGAATATTGTCCTAAATTTTCAAGTTGATCCCAGTAATAGTTTTGGAGATACAGCTTTGAAAAGTTGCGCGCTCGAGGTCAGCTATGAAGTCACTTAAAACTTTAAACACATTTTTCTCGAAACTGTGTTTTCAAAGTCGGTTGCAAAGATTTCTCGCGAACTACTCAACCGATCTTAATGAAATTTTACACTGGTCTTTGAAATATAATTTACAGTGCCTTCAACGAATAATTTTTTTTGCTCAATTACAACTATTTAAAAAAAGAAATGTCGAGCAAATTTGACCGAAATTTTTATTTTGTTGGGAAAAGGTCTGCCAAAATTCCAATTTTAACTTTTTTTTCCTCCGTTCAAGCACGAGTTTATGGTCTTAACTAAAAAACGTATTTTTTGTTTTCATTTTAGATTATCCTGTCAGGAGTTATGCTGACAACGCGGACGCACCTTTTTTCGAGGGGATACAGAAATTATTCTTTAAATGTGTATCTTTAAGACAGAAAAAAGTATGAATTAAATAAATAATTTTTATATAGAAAAAAAAATTATTGAAATTAGGCCTTTTTTTCCGACGAAGCCCATATAACCCCTTAATGATCTTAGTTCAAGCACAAATTTTTTTCTTTTTTCTTTTGATTAACCTGTCAGAAGTTCTGCTGTCAACGCGAAAGCTGTTTATTTCCGAGGGACCGCCGGAAATGACGTTTTTAATTGACCGAGTTTTGAATATTTTTCTTTGCAAATATCACAAAATCTTTATCAAATATGCATCTTCGGAACAATAAAAAGTTTTAATAAAATATTCATTTTTAATATGAAGAAAAAAAATTAATGAAAATAGGGCGTTTTACTTGACGAAACCCATTTAACCGCTTAAATATTTACTTCATTAAAAATTATCGTGAGAAAATTAAACCGTTGAGAAAATTAAATTGGGCAGCAATTCACTCCTTTGACTATAATTTTTTTACACTCTCTCTTTTACACACTCTTTTTATCTGATTGAAGGTTCAAGTTAGAATTCCTTGTATACAATGAGTTAATTTGTGGTTTCCATTTATTATTATTATTATTATTATTATTATTTTTCTCATATTGCACTTATGCTATATATAATACAATTCGATATCATTCAGTTAACAAATATGGGCATTTAATAATATACTATATAATACATTTTAATACTATTTACTTGCGTACACATGAGTGATTCATTATTAAACGTATGGAAAGTCTATAAGACTAAGGCTAATGCATAGAAATTGTTTGCAGATCTAATTTAAACTACTAATTTACACATCAGAGAAAACGAACAACTGATTGCAACATTCGAACCACAATTAAATACTACACTTAATTATTACAGTTGAGAAATATTGATTTTGAATATATTTCTAATATTACTAACAAATTATTTTGGTTTTATAAAATATAATATTTGTACAATATAATTCAGATAACACTAAAATCGCAGTTGCATACAATATATGACATGAAACTTGCTAGATCTTTTACTGAAAACTCGGTAAGTCTACACTGCTGATAAACCATTCAGTCCATATACACATACTCGTACATATATGAACAAGTATATACATTTACGATGTGGCCATTAACTTGGCCGCCTGTATGACATTGTGTTGATGATGGTGGTAGCTAGCTAGTTCGCCCGTTGAGCTGTGCATCCCATGCATACCAACACCCATGCCCACGCCCATGCCCATGCCCATGCTCATGCCGCCGCCGGCAGCAGTCGCCGCGGTAGAAGCGCTCAATGGCGGAAAAGAGCCGCCAAAGTAGCAATTACTCACATAATCATAGTTGGTGGCATTGGCTTCCGATTTGACGCTATAACTGCCAACACCCGCATTGCCATCCGCCGAACTGATATGCGAGCTGCCGCTGTGTTGGCCCAACGCGGTTGCTGAATGATGTGCGCTCGGATGATGCGACGCTGCATGATGAGCTGCCGTCGCGGTTGGATGATGATGATGATGGTGGTGATGTAGATGTGCCGCCGCCGCGGCTGAATGATGGTAATTCGGGCTGGGCGTGCTGGTGGAAATGCCGGTGGAGAGCGAGACAGCGCTAGTGGATGAGTTGTTAAGATTTCCAATGTTGCTGTTGACACCACCGCCGCCAGCACCGCTGCCGCTGGACGAAAGCAGGTGCTCGTACTTGGAGATGACGTGTGAGCCGAAACTTGGGGTAGACAGTTGCGCAGCGCTCGCATTACTTTGTGGCGTATACATATGGGAGCTTAGAGATGACGCAGTGCTGGCTGAGTGTACGGTGGGTGTATTGCTGGTGGATGAGAGCGCATGTGAATGTGTGTGTGCAATTGTTGAGTGGCGGGACTGTTGTGCGGCTGCTGAGGGCAAATGCATGTGATGGCTAAGCGGATTGTGCAATGAACCGCTGGTGGATGGCGAACTATTAATGGCATTCAGACTGATGTTATGCAAGGAATTGCTACTGTTCATACTGCTAATTGTATTGTTGAGACTGTTGTTGCCTTTAAGCGCCATATCGGATTGCAGTTTGCCAGAGAGTGCAACGGTTGACGGCAAACTGTGGCGCTCTAAAGCAAGCGATGTTTTCAGATCTAAAAAAATATGAAAAAAGAGCTTTTGATATCAGCTGTCCACTTGTGTTACAATGTTTCATTGTTACTCACCATCATCTTTGCCATCTTTCGAGGCATCCGTTGAGCTATTTGACTTTTTCGGCTTTCGCTTGCGTGTCTGTATGCCATCCTTCCGCATTGCTAGCGGTCGATTGACACCATGCAGCTTAAAGTAAAGTCCACAGGCATTACACACTGGTTCGCCTTCATTGTTGCGACGCCAAAGCGTTGTGGTGCGTGTACCGCAATTGGTGCAGCACAAGCCCAGTCTACGGGTTGCCGTCTGCAAGGATAAAATCTAATTTAAAAAAAATACGCATGCAACGGCCAAAAGTAAAAGAGAAGAAACAAAAATGGAAAGTAAGTTTTTGAAAATTATAAGCGAACACTCACTGCACTCACCAGTCGCTTGCTTGGCTTGATAAGCGGTCTATTCATGCCGTTCATTTTATGATAGAGACCGCAAGCGTTGCACAAATAATGACCGGTACCGTCACGTCGCCATAACGGCGTACTAATCGCGCCACAATTCACACATTCGCGACCCTCACCAAACTGAAAATCAATTGCATTCTCATAGGGCGACGAACGCTGAAAGCCGGTGGGATCATAGGCAGCACGCCAAGAGCCCATCGTATAGAATTGTGCTGGCAGTTGCGCATGCGCTGTGCCAAAACTGTCTGTGGTCCAGGCATTTTGTGCAGCGGCAGTACCGAAATGCGTAGCCACATGATTGTACTGACTCTGTGTGAGCGCGCGGTTCGACGGTACATAGACGGGTGCATTCATAGCCGTTTGATGATGGTAGCCGCCGTTGCCCGCTGCACCACCCGTCAGATCCGGGTAACCGGCACTGGAGTGATACATTTTTGTGGAGAGTTGTTCTTGCGGTGACGCAGTTGACGGACCAAAAGGCAGATGGCTGCTGTACGCTTGGCGTGATAATTGGCTATGTAATTGCGTTTGCAGCGAATGATCACTGGGCGTAGTTTGAGGCGTTGTGGGAGAGGTCTGCAAGAAAAATACCGGACATATTATATATATCGTTATACTTTAAAAACAATATATTCAAATTCTAAATCTATAAAGTTTTCGATTTACAGCCTGCTAGTTCAGCAGTTTTCTTTTAGCACATTTCTCTCGCAACATCATTCTATGAGTTCGCTTGCATGATCGATCAATCGGAAGCTATTAAAATTTTCCTGCATCTTCTATACGTAGCTCTACATACAATGACCTTGTTTGATCTAATTATTCCAATTTTGGCAAGCCAAAAACGAGAAGTATTTTTTGGTAAAATTCAACTTTTTCTTAAATGCCGCCATTTTGTCAGTTATAGATTTTTTTTGGAACAATAACTTATAGAGAAGAATTTTATTTTCAGGTTTCATGTACGTAGTAGGTGGAATAACTATAGCAGTAGCGAACATTTTTTTTAGCGCCGTCGGAGATCATGTGTAACCATTAGTATTTAAAAAAAAATTTTTTATTTAAATATAAAATTTTAAAACAATTGATACAGTAGTTTTGGTTTTTTTTTTACAATACCAAAAAGTCGCCTTTTGTTTAGGCTGACACGCTTGGTTAAGGGGCACCTTAATAAAATACTGCAGCACAATTACTGTAAAATCAATTTCGAATAATGCTAACAATTACTGATATAAATACTAAAATGTTTTGTTTATTAATTCTATTTGAAGTGGAAAAGGTAAATAATTACTTAATTAAACGCTACATTGTCTGTGCATTGCCAGCTACCGTTCACAAGCGAGAACAAATGGAAACGAAATGCTTGGCTCTGATTGGCTAACGCGACGCAAAGAGCAGGAACCACCCCACAAGTCAAATCAATACAAGGCATCGCCACCATTTTTATAGTTTTTCCTTTCTCTTGTGCATATCGATCGCAATGCCATTGTATAGGAGTTTTTAAGCGCTTTGGTATGCCAGCAAGTGTGGGTAATTCATATTAGAAAAAAAATTGTATTGTGCCCCTTACGCATGCTTTCGCTTCCACTGCGTATACATGCACGAGCTACAGCAAAATAACAATAGGCAATATTATAGCAATGTGTACTCGTTTGCTGCAAATAAATTTAAATTAACGCGAAAAATTATTTATTACATAAATATGGTATGTAATATGTATTCATACCAGGGACAGAAAATAACAGTCGTTGCATAATTTCTATTATAAATAAATAAAATAAAAAATCACTATGAAGGAAGGTTGGGATATATCATCATCATGAAACTATGTACACATATTCCTAATGGTAATACCAAAAGGATAATTATTATTGTATTAAAAAGTATATAAATGTAAAAAAATTATTTTGCAGAATCATATCTGTTTGTATCACTGATGAAGTTCATCGGAAATACGGGGTGGTTCAGAGAGGAGCCAATAGAGCGAGTGGATCTTAGTGTCGGTGGTATCACAATGGGCTGCCTAAAGGCCTAGGGGTGTCGAAAGACAGCCACTCTACCTACCTACCTATTTGTTTTGTAAAATAAATTTCAAAATTTTGAATTAAAAAAAAATAAGTTTGGCAGCTATGATTGTTTGTCGAAAAATTTAAAAATGTAAGAAAACAAAAATGCATCATAAACGTAAATCAGAGAAATACCACCACCAAGAAGCTGATAAATGCTGTATAGTATTCGTGTACACACAATATTTTTAGTTTTTTTCTTTGTTAACAAACTTTAATATTTATTTAAGGGATTCAATGCTAGCGGAGCCGCGGGAAAAGCTAGTAGTTAATAAACTTGATTTTTGCCAAATTCCTCATAACTGTTACGGTCGCTGATTCATACTCACATTTACATACATATGTACACATATACCATTTAATTTTTATAATTACTTTGAAAATAGCTATATATATACATATGCACATAAAATTTCAGCAAACCGCGTAATATTTTTTGTATACAATATTAAAACTATATCAATTATTAAATATGTTCGAATCTATACATTAAAATGTATTAGCTAAAAAATAGCTTACAGGTTTTGTGGAATTGAAGTGCTAAGATGTATTGTATATATGTGTACGTAAGTATATATGTATATTGATATACAATGTTATGCCACAAATGTACATACATATGTAGCTAATTAAATAGCTCAGCGACCTCAAGTATCTAGATGTGTTCGTACAAATATTACTACGCATGTTTGCATATATGTATGTATGTATTCACATATGTATATGGAGGCAAATACATATGGCGGCATTACTTGGTTAATCTATAAATTGTATATCGAAAATCGAAAAAAGTCGAAATGCTTTTATCTTATCCGAAATAAATAACGATGATGTATGAAAACTGAAGAACGAACAGTTGAAATGAATTCAAATAAGAGCCAATGCAGAAAACAGATGCCCAGCTGACCAGGCGAAGTGTGCTAATGGTTTTGAAACAATTTTATTTTTCAAGTTTAAGAGCATACAACTTTTTATTTTGAAGTTGGGTCGAAAATTTCATTCAAAAAATGTCTTATGTGCATTTGCAAAAATCTACACATCGATTAACATGATTACATATAAAAGAAATTATTATTATTTTAAATTAAATTTACTTAGTTTGAAAAATTTATATTTATATATACGTATTTGCACACACTTCATTAAATATTAACAAATCGTAATTTAAATTCATAAATGCATATGACTAAGTAATTCTAAAAGAACATGAACAAAATATATAATATTTCACTGACACATAAATTACATATACATATGTATATACACAAATATGTACATATTTACAATGAATGTTGCTTTGTTGGATAATATAAAGCTGCGATACGCCGAATGGTTTGCACTCGACTATGAGAGTCGCCGTTGAACGAATACAGTTAACACAACGCACTAATCGACTTTAGAAGTATAGAGAATACAAAATACTTTTGAAATTTTTGAAAAAAAAATTTTTTCAAGCATAAGTGTCAATAACATTTTTAACAGAATTACAAAATTAAATACACAAAATTGTAAATTACACAACAATATTTTGTATGCGCTTACAGAAAACGCTTTAAAAAGCGTAATATTAGTTATTTTGCGGTATTGAAATTATATAAATATTTGGGAAAAAAAAAAATTAAAGAATTTCTGTCATGAAAACTGCCGTTGTCCTACTACTGTTAATAATTACAGCAGCATTGGCCAAAAAGGAAAGTCCACGTCGTGGTATTGCGAATGGACCACCAACTCTGAGGTGCAATGACTACGCCGATGTGCTATCACCCACGCGTTTGTTTTTATTGAGCTTGGCGATGATATTGTTGGGTTTAAAACAATCGCCATTGATGCGAATGGGGTCGAAAGATGCTGGTAAGTGGAGCTTATATTTTTTGCAACTACAGTAACATAACAGTTCATATTCAATTTGCTTAGCAAATAAATGGCGGTGGACCAGTCATCGACAAAGTGATTTGAAAACTTGAAGATATTACAAAATCACAGCTATACATACATACATGTTAGAGTAATAAAAGGATAACTAGTACTCTATTATATATATTTGTACATATAATCATGCATGCGTATATATGTATGTATTTTGAATGATTCTGCTAAAAAATTCTAATCATTATAAGTTAAAAAAAAAAGAACAAAATATATTAGAAATGTTGGTCATAAAAATATAGCGAAAACCGCTTTGGTGCTAGTCAGCAGCTGAACCCATCACCTATATAGTAGTAGTTTTATTTTATTTTTTTTTGTTAATATTAAAACGTAGTTAAAGCGGGGTACAGGTTTCTATAAAAAAAATAAAATTTTATGGTGGTTGAACTTTGATAGTGTTTACAAATTTATGCCGGAATTCAATACTATACTTATTAAAAATGTTTTAGAAGTTTATTCTTTTTAATTTCTTATATCTTTAACGCCTAGCTTTGACATTCCGTCGGTAAAATAAAGTAGTTCAGGTAAGTAGTTTTAATTTAGCCAGAAAAGTCTTGTGGCAAATACTCGTTGAACGGCAACGAGCCTTTCAACACCTTTCACAGCTGATATTCAACGTAATGATTTTATTAAATACGGCGGCGTCAACTTTGATCTTCTCCCAACATGGTGCGAAAAAACGGTAACAAGTATAAACGCGAAGTGGAGGCAAATAAAAAATGAATAAATGAATGTTGACAGCACGTCACATTTTATATCATTTTCCACATAAATATGCAAATAAACAAATATTTAATATTTAACTGAAAATAACTTAATTTGTGTTTTAAAATTAAGACGGCTCTATCAAGCAAAATGCCAATACACCAACAAAAACAAACGAACAGCGACAACACAAAGGCACATATTGACCACGCGTGGATAATGACGCCAGCCACCAGCCACCAGCCACCAGCAAGATCAGTTGATCAAAGCGAGCGCCTAACCTGCCTACAAGGCGCAAGTTCAGTGGCGGCCACTTCAAACCCCAAAAGTGGCGGATGGCGCAGCGCGTACAAGAAAGTAAATGGAATGTCGAGTGAGGCTCAGAAGCGAAGACGAACTTACGCATTGTCAACAGGCAAAGGTGGAAAAAGCAAAGCAACAAAATATATGTTTCATTAAAGAGGCTAAAAACGAGAACACACAACACACAAATATATTGTAATAAAAGAACAAAACAAAACAAAAAAAAATAATACAAATGAGAGGAATTAAAAACGAAAAGGATGAGTGTAGATTGAAAATGCAGCAAAAATATTAAGCCAACAGCAATAAAATTTCCATAAAAAAGGGACTAAAGTGGTGCCGTAGCCGGTGCCAGCGGAGATCGTTAATAATTTGTCACACAAGCGTTGCAAATAAAAACAAACAAAGGATCAGCACTTGGAACTGGAGTGAAGTGGCTCTCAAGCGAGGCCAAGTAAGTGATCTTTTGTGAACGCAGCGCGGGTGCGTAAGAAGAACGATGAGTGTTTTCGTGTACGATAATGATGAAGAACCCTGATGAGGGTGCTATTGCAGATTGGCAGTTGAAAAATCACAGCACTCGAATAACCGAACCGATAATGCCGAAAACGAATGTTAAGTGTTGCATGTTTCAAGAGGTAGAGGCGTTCTGACGAACGCTTAAGGAAATGCTGATATGAGGTGAGTGAGTATGGTGAGAGACATTGATCGTGGCGAGGTGCACAGATCGTTATCTAGCAGAAGTTAATGCTAATAATAAAGTTTGAGAACAGCCAGTGTATATACATATCTATATGGATACATATGTTATGTATGAATATCAGAGATGTATGTATATAAGTGATAAAGTTAATTAATTGCTATTTTGTAGTTGTGTGAGAGCTTCGAGATCTCAACTAAGTTTATAACAAAAGCATATTAAAATTATGTGTGTTTTTTCTTTTTGCAAAATAAAAGAGTTAGTCACTTATATAATACCGCCAGTACCTATATATATGAACTATCTGAATTACTATGATCATAATGACGTCTTTTCTACGACGGCAACAACAGCAACGACAAACCCTTTCAGCTTTCCTTGCGAACAAAGACGCCGCCGTCCATTACATGGCACTCAGAACCAATGGAGCTGCCGCAGTTGCTGTCGACAAGCAATGCTACAACTTAGTCCCTCCACTGCTGTTAGCGTTGGGCGCTTGCAACGCTAACTGTGCGTCTCTTTTACTTTGTGTGGCAAAACGGTGGTACAAGAGTGCGGAACTTGTTGGCGGAATTTCGCTTTGAAAACACTCTTAATGCATTTTCGAGTGGATCAATTTGTCTGGTGGCGGATCGCTTGCGTTTGTATTTGCATTTGCATTGCGCTGGGATTTTATTTATTGCCGTCACCGAAGATGAGGTGCTGCTGCTAATACTTTTTGCCAAGGATCGAGCTTTGCGCCAACGTATATACCATATGTACATATGTACATACATGTATATGTATGGTATATGTTAGCTGTGGTGTTGACTTGTGTGTGTGAGAGCTGGCTGCGCGTAGCACAAATGAAAGCCAGCAAAGGAAGTGCAGCCAGTTGGGTGATCTTGTTAAAGGATGTGTTTTTTGTTTGTTATTATTGTTGTTTTTTTTACTGCGCTGACCGCGCTTATGTGATTCGCTGTGCGTGCAACCGGATGACTAATAAGCATGTGCTTCACTGAATTTTAAGTAGATTTAGCTTACACGCTTGCTTGGGTGCGATTATAAAATTTTTATTGGCAGAAAATAAAGTGTATCGGATATATATGTATGTATGTATATGTAGGTAGAATAATAAATGCAAGTACAAATATTTTTTAAATCAATTTTATGATCCTTTCTGGAAAATGTTTGCAAAAACTTGAATTTATCACGAAAAATGCTCAAAATTCAAAGACTTCAGCCATTTCAGCTTGATAAAAATTATAGCATGCATTTTATTTCAGCAGGACATTCCTATGAGTATTAAAAATCTCAAATATTAACTACTAGGTAGAATAAAATAAATTAACTAATTTTCAATTGATGCAAATTGTAACACTGTTACTCTGATTCTTGCGGTGATAATGTATAGGTTCGAGTGCTGTAGCCAATAATACCATAAGCGTATGAAAGCGAATTTACTTCTTGGTAATTTTCTTTATTACTTCTGACACAATTTTTATTTAAAAAAAAAATTTCAAAATCTTTTTAACAACACCTAACAGTAATGCTGTTGTTGTTGCTTCATTTTTAGCTTAACAATACGCTCGGGAGACCAGCAAGAGTGAATTGTGTGGTAATTGTAATGCCAACTTTTAGACCGTCTTAATGCTTCTTACATAATTTATTTTTTAATATACTTTGATCTTTCAAGTTTGTTGTTTTGAGTTACTATATAAACTTAAAGTTGAGCTGTAATGCTCTTTAGCTACAGGTTTGTATAAGCGCACTCTTGCAGTTATACATACATACATACATATATAACTATTGCAGATATATGTACATACATATATATCTATTATATGTATAAGCATGTTTCATATGACAGGTTCAAGTAAGAATTTATTAGTAGGTTTAAGGCAAATACAATATATAAAATGAAGGCTACCCAATGCAAATACGTTTTCTCTTGACCAACTTATATACATATATATCTTAAAAATATATATTAAAATTACGTGTCACGTTTTCTCCGCGTTAACTCCTAAACTACTGAACCGATTTGAGTAAATTTTAGCATAATCTGAGCAGTTTAATGCAAATACAAATTTTTAGTATAGTTTATAGCTAAGTCATTTTAAAGGTAAAATAATTCATAAATAATAAAATATATTTCTAAACATAGGCATTTTTTCAAAATTAAAAAAAATATATATTATTATTATTATTATTATATTGTTCAGTAAAATGCCAAATGGCAAATTCATAATTTTTCTCTTGACAAATATTTGTATAAATCAGCAATCAAAATTAAACCTCAAGTACAATCACTTGGGTTTTTGTAACGTTATTAACGTTTTCAGCTTTATTCGTATATAATATTTTCACTGTATTGAATAATTTATTATAAGAGTATTTATTGTATAACATAGCCAAAGCAACGCGTGGTCGCATCTACTAGTATGTGTAAGTATTATAACATTTCTTTATTTGCTTTAGCGGATAGCTTATTATAAAAAATTTCTATCTTGACTTAATTTGCCACCGAATAGTATTATATTATATTATTTGTACATACATATACAGTCAACTATTTTTATTTATTAGCTACAGCAGATTCTAACTCTATGCACGATTTAGTCATCATATTTACTACACAACTACAACAATAAGCATTCGCTTCAATATTTATTGTATTTCACTTACATTGTTGTCATTTGCAATCATTAGTATGCCCATTGTCGCATGCGATATTTTTGTAATTGCTTTGCGATAGTATTTTTTGCAAATGTGCTGTATTCTGTTGCGCTGAGTTTTATGCAATAAAAAGTATATAACTTTTTACTAATTATTCGCTTTCAATAAATGCGGTTGCACTATACACATGTTTATTTATAAATATTCACTAACGAGTGGTGTTAAAAAGACGATAATATTTTTTATTGAAATTACGTTATAACCACAATAAAATGCCAAATAATTTTTTTAGCACGCATATGTACGCGCGCATGGCTGCATGGTATGTGTTTGACTTCGAATATTCACATCAAAAATTCACAAAAGACGATGAAGCTGCATAATTACAAATTGAGATAATTAAAATCAAAGCGCAACATTAAAACTGTTTTTCGAAACAAAGACTCAGTGGTTAATTGCAGGCACACAATCGAATTGTATAAGAAACTACGAATTGGACAACAACGAACTGAACTGAATGCCTTGAGGTGTGCAAACAAACTAAAAAAGTCCGCAAAGTAAACAAAAACTTAATCCGAAAATCCAGTCCGGAAGAGACCAGCAGCCACAGACACAGCCACACACTGATGCAGATACGGTCGATGGATAGGCAGACAGACGAACGCACGGACGTACGCGCAATCGCCGCCTTTTGCTAGTGTAAAAGTCAATTTCATCAATGGTCCCTGTGAATGTGCAGCAGAGCAGAAGCGGACGTGGCAGTGACGTCAGCCGCTGCGCGCCAAATGATGGAGACAACGTACAGCGTACTCTATCTTACGCATCAACGGATTGCCGCGCAACGCAATTGGGAGCAAGTGAGACACACATACAATATATGCGTGTGCACTTTCTTTTAGTCTACAGCTAACAAAATCAACAGGTAAATGTATATACATACATATATACCGTTGACATCGCAGCGGTATAGGGGCGCTTGAACGTCAGAAAACCATCCAAAAAGGATCGGATTGAGTGTCGCCTGCGGTGCTGACTTCGCACAACGAATGACAATGACAGCGAACGGCGCTTACACAAAATTGGGCAATCACACTTCGGTCGCAGGCTACCACGGCTACAGTATGTCCGACAGCGATTGAACATACAGACAATCACACATACGCTTGTATATGGGTAACTGGAATTTGGCTGGAACTAATGCTGTTTGAAATCGGAACAGGTTCTTCATAGGCTGTGTTTGGTCACATTTATGAACGCGGCGTTTCAATGGAAGTCACAAGTTATACAAAAACCAAAAAGATTTCAAGTCAAAACTGGCGTCAAGGTTTAACCATTTCTAAGCGAATGCATTAGTGATATGTATACACACAATTAGGATATGAGACCATTCTACAGGCACTTAAGAACACTTACATATATATGGGTTGAATACCAAAATAAACAAGTGCTCAACGGTAGCTGAGCTATGTGTACTCGTAAGTGGTTAAAACGTTAAGTCAAAGGTATGAAAGTAGGCTGGTACTTACAAATAATTAAGGACTCGCCTCTTTTTAATGCATTGTGTCATATTGTTGGGCGATGGAATCGGTTCTCGCAGCGCGTAGTTGTTTGGGAAATTAATATTTGTACTTATAGGAAAATGTTGTTGGTGTCGTGCCAAGTCATAATTGTTATAGAGTTTGTTATTTCGGTTTCTGTACAATGAAATTATTTTTATACCCTGAACAGGGCCACCTGAAGTTGGCCACAAAGTTTGTAATACCCAGAAGGAAACGTCGGGGACACCATTATATGTATATACATATATATATATGGTACATATGGTATATAAATTAAGAGCATGGCGAAATGAGTCGAAATAGCCATGTCCGTCTGTCTGTATATATGCGAACCAGCCCTCAAGCTGTAGAGATAGCGTTCTAAAATTTTGCACCTGCCCTTTCCTCACTAAGAAGCTGCTTATTTGTAGGAACCGTCGATATCAAACCACTATAGCATATAGCTGCCATACAAACTGAACAATCAATATCATGTCCTTGTATGAAAAGCTTCTTCAATTGACGAGATATCAATGCTACAACCTATTATTTTATATCAAATATTATCGACATATTTCAATATTAATTTTGAACATATGATTTTAAAGAGCCTAATGTACATTTCTCATAAAACAAAAACTAAATAAAAATAATTAAAAAGAACAAAAAAAAATTGTTTATAAAAAAAAAATTTCGGAAAAATTGAACGTATGTATATCTTATTGAAAAGCTGACAAAAAATCCTATATAATAGGTCGACTAGCATTGTTTAGAATAAAATACTTTTTTCGAGCGTTGAAATTTTGAAAATTCATAACCCGAAAATTTTGATATTGAGTCGAAATAAAAGAAATACGCGTACAATATTGTGCCACAAAGAACACAAAAAAATACATGTTTTGTACGAACGCATTTGAGCGTTGCAATTAGAGTTTTATATTTTGGATCGTATTTTTGATTGAATATTACGCAGTCTCCGGGTGTTTTATGCGAATTTTGTCATCGCAGACATCTCCTCGAAGGGAGGCTGCTATTATAAAAATAAAACTATAGTTTATTGGTCAAAAAGAGATCTTTTAAATACGAATGAATCAAAGCATGATATATATTTTGACTTTTTTTCTGCTGAATAATATAATGAGCTTAAAACAATTGCAAAACATAAACATAAAATTAAAATAGAAAATCTATATTAGTTATTGCTAGGAAGCAAACATTATGTAATGCGAGAGAGAGAGTATTTTTTGCAAAATTACTTAATTACTTGACTATAATATAATTGAAATTATGTTTAAAAAATCGAAACAAGTGTTAAATTATAAAATATGCCTGTATTGCTATACTTTAATGCGAATTTACTAAAACTACTTCTTCTCTGCAATTTAAGTAACAAAGAAGTTGTTAATATCCGGTAAGCTCCTAACATACAAGTATACGAGTATGTGAGTAATAGTGACTATGTATATACAGAAATAAAAATATTTATATTTTTTCCACCAGTTTCTTTCACACTCTTTAATTGTGCGATTGTGAGTGTGCAGCTCACAAAGTTAATAAAATGTCAATAAAATTGCAATAAAAACTCAATAAAACGCTCTTATGCACTTTACGCCCTCAATCAATAAAACACATGCACATACATATAAATAATTACACATACACGTGCATCAATGTGCTTTAATGCAATTTAAATGGACGATGAGCGGGTCACAGAATCCACTTAAAATCATCACAAAAACCAAATCAATTTCGTTTCTGTAGTTGCCGACAAGCCGAACGCAGCAACGGAGATTAACTAATTCATGGATACAAATCAAGATCGGCAGCCGGTAGTATAGAATGCAGCGAACAGACGAGAGCGCAGATTAAGAGGTGCCAATGTGATTGCAGGCTGGCGCTGTGGCTGAACTGAGTTTCCCAAACTGCTTACAATTCTTTGTCTTTGGTTGCAGTTCTCGTTTTCATTTCCCGCTTGAGGTAATGAAACGCTCGCATTATCCACCTACTTGGTTGGCGTAGAGCGGTAATGGAGTGCATTATGCATTCGTGCATACTTAAATACAAATAATCAGCTAAGTTTTCGAAAGCCGAAAGGCGCCGCGAAGGTAATGCTGCACGTGAATGAAAAATTCAGAGCAATTGAATTGCTTGAGTGAGTTTAGGGGGAGCAGAATATGTCACTGGTGGCTTTGGGCACACAAAAACAAAACCACATACTTGTACGTATGTATATCACTCTATGGTATCCCAATGCACTTGTCAGCGAAATAGATTGAAAAATGGTAAGCGCCATCACGATAACAACAACAATGTACACAAACATACATACATACGAGTATGTAGCCGTTTAAGTCAAGCGCGTAACCACAAACCTTTAGAAAGCCGACGGCAAGCCGCAAGACACACTTCGTAAGCGACAAACCGCCAAACCCGCAAACCCACAAACCAAGCGGCTAAAAGACACTTCACGTACGTACAAGCATATCTGCATTGGTATGTGTGTAGATGTGTGTAAATACATACATAAGTATCGTTCATGAGTGGAGCGGCACTCAGCGCGTTGTCTTAATGTAACGACAAAGTCTCCTCTTAACGCGCTCTCGGTTTAGGATTAATTGAAATAAGTTGTGGCATGACGTTTGTTTCTTTTTTAACTAATTGTTTATGCCGCCCTTTGTTACTTTTGTCGTTGTGCGCTCTATTGTCTCTTAACTAATTTGGCTCTTGCTCCATTCAATGGTTGTGAAAAGGAAATTAATAGAAAAAAATTATTGGAGCCAAAGCAATTATCGATTGTCTGACAATGAATTGTGTGCGCGTAGATGCTGCAGCCGATATGAGGCACATGGCATGGGAGTGGGTACTTGTCTGCAGCGTTTATAAATATGTACGCCAGCTTGCTGGATATTTGTATATTTGGTGAGAACAGATGATCGATAATACACTGAAGTCAATTGACAATTTATTGAAATTATGATTTTGTGCTAGAAAAGCACTCACCAGTAGCAGCTGCGTAGCAAAGATTATTTTGTAATAAAATCATCGAAAAAACTATTTAAAGCGGAGATCTAGTAAGTAGGTTGGTAATAAAAACGTTTTCGTGTTATGCAATAATTGTAGGAACAAAACAAACAACTGCGAATGGCTGTTGGATTTTATAATAAGCCTGCTAAAATTGTATTTGCTTCAAACAAGTACAAGCAGAGGGACAAAAGTTTTCAAGTTTATATAAATCTTGTTTCCTCGTATATAATACATATCGTCACCTGAAATGCAAGAGAACGTATGGTTAAAAAATTGAAATTGAAGTTTTTTTTATTACGATTTACTGCATCGTATTACATGTGTGTAATAAATTTCAAGCTTCTGCAATCAATCATAATCAAGTTATAATGAAAATCAACATTTTGTTGCAATATGAGCAGTTTCTACTTTATGCGGTTACATACAGTCTGAATTTTCAAAAAAGCGATTTTTTTAAAAAATATTTTTTCTTAATGTACATATATTTAAGAATACACACAGAAAATTTCACATCGTTCCGGTGAATATTTTCGAAGTTACACGCAAATTTGAAAAGGCGTTTCTGAGTGCTTGGAAGTATGAGGCCGAAGCGGCAGCGACTACCTGAACGCTGAACTTTTTCGATCGCAGAGCGCGTGAGAGCACCCGAGATGAAAGAATGGCTCGCAGACAACATCAGCTCGAGTTATTAGAAGCAGCTGAATCGGCGATGGGTCTCTTATATGGGCCTGGAATAGACGACTCCATGTAAGTTGAACAAAAACATTTTGTTATACCATGTAAAGTGTATTCCAAACTTTAAACGCGTTTTTCTCAAAATAGCGTTTTCCAAGTCGGTGACCAACATTACTCGAAAACGGCTTAACCGATTAGGCTCAAATTTTAGAAACTCACTTTTTAAAAATTTCGAAGTAATTTTAAAGATACAGCAGTTAGAAAAAGGTCCTATGCGGAGCACTAAATTGACAGACTTGAAACTTTAAACACGTTTTTTTCAAAACTTTTCTCCATCGTATGTCAAAAACGATTTGATCGATTAACTTGGAATTTATGGCGTACACTCAACATCTGTAAACATATGAAGGTTTTCTTTTGACTGTGTCTTCTTAAAATATGTTTAATTATGCCCTCAATAATTAATTTTAAACCAATTGACGCAGTCGATTGTTTTTTTAATTCCCAAAATAGCCTTGTTTATATTCTGTCACACCAGGTGTGCTCCTTAAAGGCACTCTAGCGCCTCTATTTCGCAATCATATTTTTCATCTTGTCTATTGCTTAAGTTATGAATTTTGCCATATATAAGAACTACGTGATATTAATTATTTTAAGTGAAAAGATTATGGTCAATCATTTAATCATCAAAAATATATAAATTTAAATACATATTAATGCTGTTATATTTGAAACAGTTAACCACATTTATATATAAAAGCATAACTACACACAAATCGAAAATCTGAATAAAGATTTACTTGAATAACGCATTATTATTAAAAACGCGTTATCTTTGAGGTTTTCAAATCTTTAAAAAAGCAAATAAGGGAGTGCCAAGTTCGGGTGTAACCGAACATTTTAAACTTTTGCAACTTGCAAGAATCAAAGCCCGAGAAATTCCTTCAGCTGCTGGCAAAACTTTATATTGATAATTTCACTAAAATATTACACATTTTGACCAACTTGCACGGTTAAAAGACAGGTGCAAAAACAGAAATAATTTTACGGGGTATATTGGCGATAGCGAAACGGACGGGTTGATTGCATTAATTTCGACATTGCTCAGGTATACTCGAGTACATATTTTGAAGCAATTTTATACAAAAATAATACTCACTGTCCGATATATTCTGCATAAAACTTTTTAGAATAGCGAAAATCATGATTAGTAGTATATGGGAGTTGGGGGTAGTATTGGACCGATTGTATCAATTTTTGCCACCACATATTACTAACATGCCACATACTAATAAAATGCTCCCAGGGTTTCATTAAGCTACCTCACATACCATTACCAGTTATATGGAGTAAAGTCCAAAAATACACTGTTATGATTAAAACACGCATATTGGTCGATATATGCAATATATAGTCAACCATAAGTTCGAAAGTCATCATGTTAGGTATATGGGGTCTTGGCTTGAATTGCATTCTAGAAAGTGCAAGAATCAGATCGAATTTAAAATTGTGTTATGTGGGAAGTAAGCGTGGTTTTAGGCCTATTTCGCACTGAAACATAGAAATGTCAGATGTGTTGTTACGTACCAAATTGTACGGGAATGGGCGGGTTTATCACTCGATTTCACATAGGGATGCTAAAAATATTTGTTCTGAATGAATTATGTTATTAAAGCTTTAGCGGTTTAGGAGGTATGCACATTAAACCTTTTAGAGGGCGGCAATACTCCCACAGTCTTGTATCTTATTTAGTTATGCAAATTTATTGATTTT